GTCTTTGATTCTTACTTTCTTGCTTTCTTTCTTTCTCTTTCGCTTTCAAATTTATGTTAAATGGGAGACAGCTCTGCGCACACCTTCCATCAATTGAAGGGACTCATTCAACCCATAACAGGTTCTTGCCTATCTGTCGGTCTGTCCGTCATTTCTGTCTTTGATTCTTACTTTCTTGCTTTCTTTCTTTCTCTTTCGCTTTCAAATTTATGTTAAATGGGAGACAGCTCTGCGCACACCTTCCATCAATTGAAGGGACTCATTCAACCCATAACAGGTTCTTGCCTATCTGTCGGTCTGTCCGTCATTTCTGTCTTTGATTCTTACTTTCTTGCTTTCTTTCTTTCTCTTTCGCTTTCAAATTTATGTTAAATGGGAGACAGCTCTGCGCACACCTTCCATCAATTGAAGGGACTCATTCAACCCATAACAGGTTCTTGCCTATCTGTCGGTCTGTCCGTCATTTCTGTCTTTGATTCTTACTTTCTTGCTTTCTTTCTTTCTCTTTCGCTTTCAAATTTATGTTAAATGGGAGACAGCTCTGCGCACACCTTCCATCAATTGAAGGGACTCATTCAACCCATAACAGGTTCTTGCCTATCTGTCGGTCTGTCCGTCATTTCTGTCTTTGATTCTTACTTTCTTGCTTTCTTTCTTTCTCTTTCGCTTTCAAATTTATGTTAAATGGGAGACAGCTCTGCGCACACCTTCCATCAATTGAAGGGACTCATTCAACCCATAACAGGTTCTTGCCTATCTGTCGGTCTGTCCGTCATTTCTGTCTTTGATTCTTACTTTCTTGCTTTCTTTCTTTCTCTTTCGCTTTCAAATTTATGTTAAATGGGAGACAGCTCTGCGCACACCTTCCATCAATTGAAGGGACTCATTCAACCCATAACAGGTTCTTGCCTATCTGTCGGTCTGTCCGTCATTTCTGTCTTTGATTCTTACTTTCTTGCTTTCTTTCTTTCTCTTTCGCTTTCAAATTTATGTTAAATGGGAGACAGCTCTGCGCACACCTTCCATCAATTGAAGGGACTCATTCAACCCATAACAGGTTCTTGCCTATCTGTCGGTCTGTCCGTCATTTCTGTCTTTGATTCTTACTTTCTTGCTTTCTTTCTTTCTCTTTCGCTTTCAAATTTATGTTAAATGGGAGACAGCTCTGCGCACACCTTCCATCAATTGAAGGGACTCATTCAACCCATAACAGGTTCTTGCCTATCTGTCGGTCTGTCCGTCATTTCTGTCTTTGATTCTTACTTTCTTGCTTTCTTTCTTTCTCTTTCGCTTTCAAATTTATGTTAAATGGGAGACAGCTCTGCGCACACCTTCCATCAATTGAAGGGACTCATTCAACCCATAACAGGTTCTTGCCTATCTGTCGGTCTGTCCGTCATTTCTGTCTTTGATTCTTACTTTCTTGCTTTCTTTCTTTCTCTTTCGCTTTCAAATTTATGTTAAATGGGAGACAGCTCTGCGCACACCTTCCATCAATTGAAGGGACTCATTCAACCCATAACAGGTTCTTGCCTATCTGTCGGTCTGTCCGTCATTTCTGTCTTTGATTCTTACTTTCTTGCTTTCTTTCTTTCTCTTTCGCTTTCAAATTTATGTTAAATGGGAGACAGCTCTGCGCACACCTTCCATCAATTGAAGGGACTCATTCAACCCATAACAGGTTCTTGCCTATCTGTCGGTCTGTCCGTCATTTCTGTCTTTGATTCTTACTTTCTTGCTTTCTTTCTTTCTCTTTCGCTTTCAAATTTATGTTAAATGGGAGACAGCTCTGCGCACACCTTCCATCAATTGAAGGGACTCATTCAACCCATAACAGGTTCTTGCCTATCTGTCGGTCTGTCCGTCATTTCTGTCTTTGATTCTTACTTTCTTGCTTTCTTTCTTTCTCTTTCGCTTTCAAATTTATGTTAAATGGGAGACAGCTCTGCGCACACCTTCCATCAATTGAAGGGACTCATTCAACCCATAACAGGTTCTTGCCTATCTGTCGGTCTGTCCGTCATTTCTGTCTTTGATTCTTACTTTCTTGCTTTCTTTCTTTCTCTTTCGCTTTCAAATTTATGTTAAATGGGAGACAGCTCTGCGCACACCTTCCATCAATTGAAGGGACTCATTCAACCCATAACAGGTTCTTGCCTATCTGTCGGTCTGTCCGTCATTTCTGTCTTTGATTCTTACTTTCTTGCTTTCTTTCTTTCTCTTTCGCTTTCAAATTTATGTTAAATGGGAGACAGCTCTGCGCACACCTTCCATCAATTGAAGGGACTCATTCAACCCATAACAGGTTCTTGCCTATCTGTCGGTCTGTCCGTCATTTCTGTCTTTGATTCTTACTTTCTTGCTTTCTTTCTTTCTCATAATTGCTCACCCATTTTGGCTCATCTATCATCCATTTTCCCTCAACCTTCACCCACCTCTCACCCAAGACTCTTCATACCCCCATTAAATAATGGACATAGAACTCTACGTTCCAAAGTATGTATTATGCTAAATGAGATGGTGTACAAACACAATAATTAGTGGATATTTTTAGAATAAGAACACATCCTGCTGGGCCTTCGAGAAGCCGTAACGCTCTGCTGAAGAAACACGAGTGCACCTACCCACACACACGCACACAGATGCACACGCACACTTTTGCCCTGTTCAAGTGTTTGTCTCTAAAAAGAGCAGGTGACTAGAAACCGTGGTTACCACACACTTGATCTCCAGAGCACTGAAAGTTATAGACTACAGAAAGTGTTAGCGCAAATGCTAAAGTTTGTGTCGACGTCCCCCGACATGGATGTTGTGCCACAGAACACTTAAATGTGTGGTTGCGTGCTGTGTGTTACATTGGGCCTCCGTAATCGTGACATCGTGTTTGAGACGTCTCAACGTGAGGGCGTCACCTGAATGGGAAGCAGGAAGTGACAGAGGGACACAAACAGGAAGTGACCGATTTTAACCTTGCTTCCTCACGAGTCACTTCCTGCGTGGGCACCTGGCTTCCTCGTATGTCACTTCCTGTCGCCTCTTAGGATTCTACATGTGTTAATGTAGGCCTGTAGTTCCGATGTAGTAGTGGATCCTGAGTAGCGTGTATCCTTAGTAGGACGACATCTGTACAAATGAAGTCCTACCAAGGATCGGGGACTGCAAGGTTATACTCCTACCTATGAGGATTTTAGTGATACATAGGATCCAGGACTACTTAGGATACAGTACCACATAAGGCACACAGTATTTCTTAAGAGTACACTACTACAAAGGATAAATTTTCTATGCATTAGTGTGTATTCCAACTAGTACACATGTGCTGCATGTGATGGAGAAGTACACAGGGTTCACTGCTTTTTGCAATATGCTACGACAAAGGCTGTAGTACTACTAAGGATACAGCAGTATTTAGATTACTGCATGACTTACAGAACTATATTAGGTATACCACTCCTTTTGATTTAGGACTACATAGGATGGCATACTACACAATTTAACAAACTACTTAGATTACATTGGATACAGTACTACTTAGATTGCACTACTGCATTGGCTATAGTACAGGTTACCTTGCATGTACAGTACAGTACTACATAGGATACCACACTACACTGGGTGCAAAACTATGTAGGACAAAGGACTAAACAGGATAAACTACCACTTACACAGGACTACATAGGATACAGTACTGCTTAGGATTTGGTAAAGTAGTACATTGGACACAGTACAACAATAGACACAGCCCTGTTTTTTTTTTTTTTTTACATACTCTGGATGTTATCATACGACAGAAAACGTTAATAATGTTTGTGTCATGTTTGTCCTCTGCCAGAAACCACATTAAAACAACAAAAAATATATTTCCCTCCCACCTTTTTCCATTTTCAAACATTTTTGAAAAAGCTCTAAGGAGCCACCGGAGGGCGCTAAAGAGCCGCATGCGGCTCGAGAGCCGCGTGTTGCCGACCCCCGCCCTAAAGGGACAAAGAAATCAATTGGAATGACAGTCTGAATTCTCATCAATGTCAATTTGTTTTAAATAATATTAGAATTTTATTTCACATTATATGAGTGGTCTGTATTCATGTGTTCATCTCGATAGCTAGTAAAAGGGGAAAAAACATGTATGCGACTGTTCCTTTAAGAGGGCCTGCAGCTGCTCTGTGTTGAAGTCTGGTCACATCTAGTTGCAGACAGAAAGACACACAAACACACGTACATATATACATGAACACACACACACACACACACACACACACACACACAAAAACTCACACAGTGGGGTAGTTGTCTTTCGGGGGTTTGGCTGTCTTCCCATGCTGCACAGCTGCACTGGGTCAACATGCACACGCGCACATTAGTTGTGGTCTGGTGATGCGCTTCTTGTCAATTTTGCTCACCTGTGGCAACCGCTCACGGACTTCCTTCTTTTTGGTTGTGTTTCTGCATGACTTTACTGTACTCACCCCACAGTTGAGGTTTTTTTTTTTTTGCTCATGACTTCTCATTTGAGGTCATCGGTGTTGGTGTTCGGTCCACTCGCTCACCCGTTCGTGAACAGGAAGTGCTAGCAGCCCCTTCATAATAAGATGCTACTGCAATAAGTCATGACCCAATATGAATAATACAGAACAGTATATGTACACATCGATGTTTTAAAACTAAACACATACATACATACATTATGTACATAATTAAATACATAGACAAATGCTTACCTGATTACATACTCAATTACATAGTTACATTGACGCATATACTTTATTACATATATCATTACTTTGACACATTTTTACATAAAGTATTTCAGACCTATATAGAACCATTTACATAATTGTCTGTACACACGCCTTTAAAGTTAATTACATACATCAACACGTGCATATAAACAATTATAGACACAGCACATCAGTGGAATGATGTGCAAACGCGACTTTGCATTTCGTTATGTGCGCTAAAATTGTCATTTTTGGTTCCTTTGGTCTCTCGTCCCCTCGCAGTGACAAACTTGAATGGTGGCTTGGAGGCCAGCAGCTCCGACTCGGATGATGATGACAAGCTACACATCGTGGAAGACGAAAGCCCGCCGGACGCCGATGCCTTCGCTGTTGCGAGGAGGGGCCGCCGCCATCCCAAAGATGCAACAGATGCCAACAACGCAGTATTAGCACACAACGGAGCCTGGAATGGAGGTACGAACACGTTGGACTGAAATATTGGGACACTCACAACAAAATGATTAAGAAGGGAGGAAGCGAAGGAATGAGGAAAGGAAGGTAGGAATGAAGTGAGGGAAGATAGGAAAGAAGATAGGAAAGAAGATTTGAATGAAGGAAGTTAAGGGTGGGAGGAAGGAAGGAAAGAAAACTTGAAAGACGGTTGTATAGGAAGGGATGGAAAAAGGAAGACATGAAGAATGGAAGGGCAGGAAGGAAAGAGGGAAGGCAGGAAGACTGACGGAAGGGTGGGAAGGAAGGAAAGAGTGGAAGTAAGTAGGGGGTGAAGGAGAAAGTAAGGGGGAGGAAGGAAAGGAGGAAATAAGTTGAAGGATCGACAGACGGTAGGAAGAAAAGGAAAAGAAGAAAATGTAAATAAATAAAAGAAGAGAGATAAGAAAGAAAGGAGGAAGAATGAAGCCGGGCTGGAAGGAAGAAATGAAGGAAGTCAGGAAAAATGAATGATGGAAGAAGGGATAAAAGATAAGAAGGAAGAAAAGAATCAAGCATGTATGAAAGGAAGGAAGGAAGGGTCGAAGGAAAGGAAAACGGCAGCCAAATGTAGTGGGACACCTACTGGAAGTAAAAAGTGATGAAAATGTGGAGTTTGGATCAAACCCTCAGAATAAAACAAAAAAAAGAGATGACTTGAAAGAAAGGAAAAGAACAAATGAAGCGTCAGCAGGTAGAGGTGAAGATGAAGGGAGGGGAGCAGATGTGGAAAAAATTGGGATGATGAGGTCATGGGAAGCCCAGATCATCTGGCTAAATGCAGACACGCGCGCTTCACCTGTCGATGACCGAGCTTTGCAGGAAGAGGCGCGGCATTCGGTGCTCGTCTAGCCTCCTTCCTAATCCTCTGTCTCCATGGCGATGCGGGAAACCTCCTGACAGGGAAAGAAAAGTTCAACAACGCATACACGCACATTCTTCCCTTTTGTAAAACACATGCCACCGGTGACTCGACGCATGTCTGGACCAACAGGTGGCGGGATTACGTCAGCCATCATACGCTCGTGGGAAAATCCAGATTAAAATAACAATGCTTTGACTCAGGATGCCGTGATGCTTGTAAACAAGGCCAGGAGAGGCTTAGTTTAGTTGAGCTTAATTTAGCTTCTCGTAGCCTAGCCTAGCCTGCTAAACTGGCTAAAACATGGCATCCATGCATACGAGACTAAAACGCTGAGCAGATAATGTGCGACCAAAGTAAGGGAATAAGGATGAGGATGTATTCGAGGAAAGGACGAAACAACGATGGAAAGAAAGAAGGAAGGGGGGAGGAAGAATGGGTGATGGAGAAATGATGGCTGGCTGGATGGATGGGAGGAAGGGAAAAGACAAGGTTGTATGGAAGGAAGGAATAAATGAAAGAAGGAAGGATTATAAAATGAAAGGAAAGGAAGAATGAAGGCGGGATTATGGCAGGAAGGAAACGAGGGACAAAGGATAAAAAGGAAGATAAAAAGGAAGGTATGAAAAGAGAGACAGAAGGAAAAGAGCAAAGTGAGAAGGGACAAATGATGAAAGTAAAGTGTAAGGAAGGAATGAAAGTGAAGAAGAGTAGAAGGGCGGTGGGGTGGTATGAAAAGAAGGAAACAAGGAAAACTATCAAATGATAGAAGCTTACTAGGAAAGGAAAGATGGAAGAAAGAAGGAAGGAGTGGAGAAAGGCGGGTTAAAGAAAGGAGACGAAACATAGAAGTATGAATGGAAGAAAGATAGAACGGTAGAAATTAAAGGAGGGAAAGCAACATGAAAGCAAGCTCGGAAGGATGGATAAAGGAGGGAAGGAAACTAGGATGCAAAGTAACAAGGGTGTATAGAATGAACTGAGGAAAGTCAGGAACAGAGCAAGGAAATGTAAAGAAAAAGAAGGAAGACTGAATGAAAGGAAGAACTTGAAACCCCAAAACTGGCCCATAAAGCCTCATATCAAACCTTAACCCCTGTTTTAAACCCTGACCCTCGCTTGTGTCGCCCTCTAGCGACGACTCTGTAGAACAACAGCACAACAAACATCATTCAAAGCATGTTTGTGTGTTTCCAGTGAAAGAGGAGGAGGAGGAGGAGTGTGTGTCCGGAGATGAAGATGAAGATGGAAAGGTGGAGGCGCAGGTTGTCGTGAAGAAAGAAGTGGAGGAGGAGGAGATCCTTGAGAAAGAAGGCACGGCCGTCCTCTGCCCGCAAGCCCCCGACGATGAGCAGAGTCCCATGGAGACGGGGGGCGCCGACGAAAACGGTAACAAGCAAATATTGGGAAATGTACTGCGTGCACGTACTTTCAAATAAGTTGTTTGCAACCAGCAAAGACACATTCATCTTCAGTAACCATAACTAGCGGGTTTTCGTAGCCATCAAACGCAATTTAGGTACAATAAATGTGGGTTTTTTTTTTAGATTACTATTCTTCAATGAAGTTCATGTACTGTACCTTGCTTGTAAAGCTCAAAGGCAATTTGGTCTGTAATAAACCTAACGTACAAGTACATTTTATGACCATCAAAGGTGATTTCGAGTCAGCGTACTTGTTTTCGTAAACACCAAGCCGATTTTACAGTATTCAGCCAGCTGTTACAATTTAGCTCGCTTGGGCACACAATCACATCATGACTTGGGCTGGACTGATTTATCTTTGTGAACTTCTATTCGCTGGCTCTGCATCTTCCTAATTTTCCGCACCCCTGTGCACACTTAGTTTAGACCAGTTAAAACCAATTAAGACTGTGGAGTCGCACATAAGAACATTCCAACACATTGTTTACGTTATGCTGCACTCCTGCATGGGCGTGGCTAAAACAGCATAAGAACAGGAATAATTTTGGACAAAGCGGGCCTTCTTCTGCATCTGGCTGGACGCTTGGAAATCATCTCACACCTGCACACATTTCAAGACAAAGTGAAAGAGATTTTAGTCACATCCTAGTCTCAGACTGACACTTCACCAAGACTTTTTTTTTTGTCATAAACATTAAAGGCGATTTCATCTCCAGTATACCAAATGTACCTTGTAAGCTTTGTGTACAAATGAGTTTTCGACAAACCTAACATCCATTTATATTTAAATACATGCAAGATTTTCTTTTTTCGTAATGATCACTCTTTCCTGAACAGACCATAAGTTTTTATTTTCCCCCGTCTGCTTCGCCACCAGGCACGCCGGACACGCTTCAACTGCACACGTGTCCGTACTGCTCGCGGGGCTACAAGCGCAATGCTTCACTGAAGGAACACATCAAGTATCGGCACGAAACCAGTGAAGACAACTACCGCTGCTCGCACTGCAGCTACACCTTCACGTACCGCTCGCAACTCGAGAGGCACATGAGCCACCACCGGGGCAACAAGGAGCAGGTGGGGACAAAAATGCTTATTTTCCACAATTTTGTGACCCGCCCATCTCTTGTATGAGGTCCTGATTTGTTTCGAGGGTATATTTGTCTTTTAATCTCCCCTGGAAATGGCTACATTTGCCGAAAGAGGGTCGCTTCAAGTAAAAATTGAGGACTTGTTGCGTCTTTTCAGTAGTGGCTCATTTTGACTTTTTTGTGGGTCTACGCTTGACAATCAAATTTCATGCTGCTAAAGAAACTGTCTTGAGAGGTTGAATTTAAAAGCTCTAGATTTTACTTTCCTTTCCTGGTAAGATATTAACCTTTGCCACTCTCTGCTCATATGCAGTGATTAAAAATGAAAATCTTTCACAATTTATCATCACCTGTCTGTCTAGTAGAAGTCAATTGGACAAAATGTTTTTGGAGGACCCTTTGGAAATGGACAAACTACCCGTACCTCAAAAATGGCCATTTTGATACCAAAATATCAGACTTCTGTTTCTTTTACAAGTGTAGGTTCTTAAGACTTTTTTGTGGGTCCACTCGTATTTGTGATGCCAACCAAATTCCAAGCGGCTCACGGAAACTCCCACCTCTCCGTTTCTACATCAAGTTTGCTTTTACATTGATGACGGCCAGCAGCACAATGGCTATTCAATTGGTACAAAGTGTAACAAAAAAAAAACAAAATTGGGGTTTGTTGAATTGAATTTTTTTTTATTAACTTTGATACTTGGTAATAGTCAAAATTACTCCCAAAATGACTGTTTTCAAATTTTAAAAAATGCAGATTTGCCTTTTTTTTTGTAGCATAGATTCTTGAGACTTTTTTGTGGGTTTTCTCATGATAAAGATGCCTATATGGGCTGTTGACAGTTGAAAAGTCAAACAGAACAGAGGAAACTCGCGGATTGAAGATTATGAATGATTAACTGAAGTAGGTTGCAGATGCAACCAAACCACTTCTGCTACACCTCCTGATGCAATTTTTTTTTTTACGTAACCTTTAGGTCCAAGTAGAATCATTTCCATTATTTTTTTAATAATTAACACTTTTTTTTAATTGGTTCCTTAACCCCCAGTCGTCCTGTCACACCCGTTCACTTCTGGAAACCACCCCTATTTATTTATCCCAGTGGACCAGTCCAGCTGAGGTTGGCCACTTCCTTCTTGGTGACACGTGTTCTCACCTGCCGCGCTTCTCTCTAGCGTTAATAGGCCTGGTAGTGCTGGTTCTTCGAGTTAAATCCTTTTTGTTTAGGTTGCGTTGGTGTTTGACGGCGTCTCTTTCATTTCTTGCCTCAGCGTCACGTGCAGCCATCCGGTGGTGGTGGAAGTGGAGGAGGCGCTCGCAAGTTCAAGTGCACGGAGTGCTTCAAGGCCTTCAAGTACAAACACCACCTGAAGGAGCACTTGCGCATACACAGCGGTGAGTAGCCAAATCAATAGGGAGAAACATGACAAGAAACAAATTTGATCAGGTATACTATGCGGATTTGAGATGGAAACATTTTCTGCTTACGAATGGACTTGAGGTTTGTCTTGGCGAAAGACATTTTTTGCTACCCATTGAAATGTTTTTGTCGGTGTATTGTCTTTTGTCATGTGTGTCTGTATGTTAGTTTATTATCGCATGCAGGTGGCCAGTGCGAGTACACCAGAAGGAGGAGCACAATGTCAAGTGAAAATTATGCAAAATTATGGCAAAAACGTTTTTTTTTTTTATACATTCTATTTATGACCGTATGTTTTTATAAAGCAGATTTTCCACAGTGATATTTTGTTATTTTGGGGAAGGCAAAACACATTAATGGCATTTTCATTCATTTCAATGGGGAACGACGATTTGAATTGCAAGAGTTACCAGCAAGGTCACTGAATGGATTAAATTTATCTTGAGACACCAATATATAAGGCTGAATACTTGAAAATCTACGGGCTGTAGGTTTTGGCTTTTGAAATGTAAAAATCTGGCGGCATGGTGGGAAATGACTGTGAAGGCTTGGCGATTGCTTCAGAATTTTGACTGGTAGAAACTTGAAAAGTTTGACTCAAGCTTGAGGGCTGAATGTCTCCCCAAAATGACTGTTCTTGTTTTGCCACTTGAACAAAAAGATGTTCAAGTTCAGCGATTGGTTTTAACATTTCACAACTCGAAAAGTGAGCCGCAACAAAGAATTTCGCTTGTATTTTGGGACAGATGACCTACATTGGTTTTCATGGGTCTTTGAACATTAACCAGTTGGCTTCTGAGATTGGTTGAGAAGTTTGAGAAGTCACTACTTCACATGCGCCGCTGATTTTGACCTTGGACTTTTGACCCCAGCTTCCTCCAGTAATTTTGGACTGAAGAGGTCCTAATAAACATGGTTCTTTGTTTATTTTACATAGAGCAGTCTTTTCGCGTTCAGAGAAATTTTACTTTTGATCCCAACTATGTCCTTTAGTCTGAAGATCTCTCAAAAGCAACAATGTCCCTGCTCAGACATAATCTGCAAACCTTTGATGATTGGTTGAAAATTTTGACACTGGAGAAGAAAGGACTTTCAGAGACTAACCTCACCTATCGAGGAGGCCAATCAAAATGATCATCTTGGTCGAGGTTGCTCTGACAGACTGATTCCAAACAACAACTAGACCATCGGATGACATGAAACTTTGTGTCATCCTGCCACTTTGCAGGGAGTTCTGTTTAACTGTATTTATTTTTTGTTTTGTTTTCTAGGCGAGAAGCCATATGAGTGCTCCAACTGCAAGAAGCGATTCTCCCATTCAGGCTCGTACAGCTCGCACATTAGCAGCAAGAAGTGCGTGAGTGCGGCCTGCACCCCCAACGGCCTGGCGCGCAAGCCTGTTAAATCACCGCAGCCCATCGGCGACAACCCGCGGGTCGCCATCACCTCGGCCCGCGTGGAAAGCAAACCACTCCAAGAGCAGCTGCCCCTCACGCAAATCAAATCAGAGGTGACCGAGCCCCCAAGCAAGCCGGCCATTGTGGCGGCGCCGGCCGCCAACGGGGCGGCACCACAGCCCCAACAACCCCTGTCTCAGGGTGTAGCTATGGTGCTCCCAACTATGGGTCTGGTGCCGCCCATCAACATCAACCTGAGTGAGCTGCAGAACGTCCTGAAGGTGGCTCTGGATGGGAATGTTTTGAGGCAGGTTCTGGGGACTGCCAATGGGGCCGTGGTGCAGGGCAAGCCGGGAATCGTGGTACAACAACCTCAGCAGCAGATCATCAGCCTGCCTGCCTTTGTGGACCACGACGGGACCACCAAGATCATCATCAACTACAGCATCGGACCCGCGCCTGCCACCGCTGCCACAACTGTCACCTCTGCCCAACCCATGCCTCTTTTTGTCAAAAACAACATTGTCCCGGCTGCACCCATCCCGACCAAAACGGACAAGCCACCGACTTCTAAGATGGACCTCAGCTTGGTCAAGGATGAACCCGAAGAGTCGGTGCTCATCACGGAAACAAAAACAGACCAAGTGATGACCGTCAAGAAGGAAGAAGGTGAGGTACCTCCACCCAACTCTGAGTCCAGCACTTGTTCTCTCTGCGATGAGTGCCCCGAGCATCTGGAGGCACTGCACTTGCTCCAGCACCACAAGGCAGCCAATGGGGAGGCGGTGGACTCGGCCGCCTTGGACCCATCCTTTGCCGCCTTGCTTAGTGATGCTGGGGTGACAGTGCAGCAGGAGCCAGCCGTGGACGACCTCCTGACCCTCCTCAAGACCTACTTCGCCTCCAATGCCAACCCCAACCAGGCCGAACTGGAGAAGATCTCAGACTCGGTTAGTATTCCTGTGGGCGTGGTGCGTAAGTGGTTTGCCAAGATGAACTCTGGGACAAAGAGCTGCCAAGACAGGACAGCATCCAAACAGACTGAATCCTTAAACTGTGAGTCGGAGGACACCAAGCAAGCTGCTTCTAGATTACAGTCTGATTCCCCGTCGTTAAACGCCAGTGACCTGGTCATCGTCAAAAGCGAGCCAGAGGACCCCGAGGCTCAAGAGTCCCAGGCGGAACCCTTGGACCTGTCCCTCCCAAAGCACCTCACCGCTCCCATTACTGCTGCACCCTCAGAGGATGCACCACCTGCCAAAAAAACATCGCACCCTCTGAATCTGACCTGTCTGAGGAAGGAACAGGTGGGGGGTCGTACTGTCTATGTGGCCACGCCCCAGACACGTAGAACCGCTGTCAGCATTGTGCCCAGCTCTCAGCTGCCCACACTGGTGGCCATCACGGGTCAGGGCACAGTGGGCTGCCTTGGTACCCTGGGGGGCTCGGCCAAGCGCACCATCCTCATCCCACAGCTCACCTATACGTACGCCAACACGGCCGGAGGCGCAGCCAAGACGGTGGTGCTTAACGGACACAAGGTATGAATGGCTGTGAGTTTAGAACAATAGTGGTGCTAGTACAGAACCTTGTGGCACTCAGTTGCTTATACAGTAATACTTTGAAGCTAATTAAATCGGTCTACTCATAAAAGCTAAAATCAACATTTCCACTTGAAATGAAGTGAATGCCTAAAGACTCTCCCAAAAACACTACAAAAAAAATTCCAGTACTGAGTCCAGAGCCAATTGAAGAACAAAGGCAAAACCGTGGCCGGAACCAATTTAAGAGTCACATTGAGAAACAACTGTAGAACCAAGAGCCAGTCAATAACCACATCAAGAATTAGAGCAAGGACCAAGTCAGGAAATACTTAAGAACCAACTTAAATATGTTGTTGATTCATAAACCCCTCCAAAAAATATGAACTATATCAAGAACCATTTACGAACCAAGTAAACAACTAATTGAAGAACCAAGTCGAGAAACCAAAGCTACAAAGCTCCATGTATAATGGGTATTTGAGGCTAATCTGACTTGAACTTTTCTTTCTTGGTTTTCCCATGCAGACGCCGGCCCCGAGTACCGACGCTGTGGCGGACGAGCAAAAGGAGACGTTGGTCATGAAGAAGCCCCGTCTGGAAAACGGTGTCTATGCTTGCGACCTGTGCAACAAGGTCTTTCAGAAGGGGAGCTCCTTGCTCAGGCACAAATACGAACACACAGGTACGCCGTACTGGATGGTGTGAACCAGAGTTGGGGGATTCGAGTCAGACTTAAGTTCCCAATTGTAGGCCTTGGGTTTTACTTGGCTGAAGGAAGACTCCAAATGTGCTTTTTCAAGGGAGTGTGCCATTTGTTGTGCTTGAAACATGAAAGATAAGACTTGAGACTTACCTTTCACTTCCACATATATGACCTAACATCAACTTCTGCTCTGAACGCCTCCCCAAAAAAGACGTTACGGCTCTTTTGTGATGTTTTGGTGTGTTTGTGTTTGCAGGAAAGCGCCCTCATGAGTGTCCAGTGTGCAAGAAAGCCTTCAAGCACAAGCACCATCTAATTGAGCACTCGCGCCTCCACTCGGGTGAAAAACCCTACCAGTGTAACAAGTGTGGCAAGCGCTTCTCGCACTCTGGCTCCTACTCGCAGCACATGAATCATCGCTACTCCTACTGCAAGCGAGACGGCTCCGATTCCGGCTCCAGCCCGGACGGCGATGCCACCGCCATCGTCGTGGGCGACCTGGACGCCACGCTGGACTCGGAAGTCGGCGAGAGCGAAGAGGACGACGAAGCCATGTGCGTGGATGACATCCGAGTCGTCCAAGTGGACGACGGCGAGTGCGAAATTTACGAGGGCAACTTTGACGACGACGACGACGACGAAGAAGATGATGACGATGATGTGGAAGATGAAGAACATGAAGAAAAGAAGGAGAAAAACCTGGACGTGGATGAATTTGCGTGCCAGGTGGTCGAGGTGGAGCTGAAGCACGATCAGACACAGGAGTCTGCCGTCGAGCAGAAGGTGGACAAGGCCGAGGCTGCCGGCGTCCACCTGGAACAGATGGCGGACTGCGCGTATAAAAGCATCAGGGACTGGTCGGACAGTGAAGAGTCCTCCGATGACCAAGCTGTGACGGACACCAAATAAGCCAACCATCCTCCTGCCCCACCTTTGGGACACTTTGAGAGCCACACGGCTTCGACTCCGGCTTCTGCTCCTGCACTGGTTCTGGGTCTAGGTCTCCAATTCAGTAGGGAATACAGACCCTCTTGAAAATGGACCCCTCTTTAGAATAGCGACGACCCCCCTCACCAAAATGACATTGAAACTGTGACAACCTTGAAATTGGCCGTTACTCTTCTTTTCGTCACAGAAGTAATGGCTTTACAATGTTTGGCAGCCCCCAGAAAGGTTCAGAATTGCCTATAGATGCCAAGTTGGTGGCAAAGCACTAACTTTGTCAAGAGGAAACTTATCAACTCCAATATAGTTCCTTGGCGCCAAGATGCCACGAGATGCTGGCAAAGCACTACTTTTGTCAATATGAAGCTCCTCAATTCACTTCAAAATTGTTGTTCGGCGCTCCGATTTTTATTGCTTTTATTGCTTTTGTCTGAGCACAGAAACATAATTATGGAGGATAGGTTAAACCCCCAACAACCCCCTCCCCCTCAAAAAAATCTGCGATTAGGTAATTTTGCATATACTGAACCGCAAATATGTGGGGGATCACTGCACTTAAAATGTATGCTTCAGTATATTTTAGCCACGGGTGGTCATATTCTACGGGGTCCATTTGCAATCTTACAAAGTATACCGGCTCCGACTCTGACTCCAGCTCCGGTCCTGGCTCCAATTCCGGCTTCGACTTTGACTCCGGTTGGCTGCTTTTCACGGTCCACAACTGTGTCCAAACACCCAGGTGTGCCTGAACTTGTTTTGTTCTTTCTTTCTCGTGCAAATATCAGTGTTACAAATGTTCATAGACGCTTTGCATCATGTTACTAACTCAATTTTTTTTTTGTTTGATTTTGGGTTGCCAACGTTTCTGACGTCATCAGTATTTTCCTCGAGTTCTACGAACAAAAAAAAAATCAAACAAACAAAAAAAAAGCGCTGCACTACGGTTTTCCCATCCGTCGCCCTTTCAGTGTTAAACGGCGTTAGCTGACGCCAGCTGACATTTGTTTTCATTTTTGACTGTTAGCCTTAAGGAAAACAAAAGATGTATTCCGCTCGTACCCACCCACGAGCAAAACGGGCGGCGCCCCCCCCTGCCTTATGCAAGACCTGCGTGCTGTTAAAGTGCCATTGAACAGTGTTGTCAATTGTCTCCTCACTCGGGTGGAGGGTGTTAACACACCTCTGTTACTTTACGTTACGTGTTCTTTTCAATTGTTTCATATGAAGGTTTCTTTACCGTCTGTTACAAGCGCCCGGCGCCATGTTCGCATCTGTTTGACCGCCTGCTAACCACAGCCACCGCAAGCCATGTCATCAAATCATTTACGTAGTTTTAACGATTTTCCTCTAATTCTTTTTTAATGACTTTTTATCATACATTCTCAGCCCTTTAGTAAAAAAAATAAAATAAAATAATCATGATGAGTTTAATAATTCAAAAGCAAATATAAAATTATAAATGTTAAAAATGTAAGCAATTTGTAAATCATGATTTGTACAATGTTAGTAGCAACAGTGTTAATGATTTTATGAATTAAGAATGTTAAAAAAAATTATTGCGATTTGTGAAGCCAATTTCATTTTTTTCCTTTTCTTTACATTTAAAAATAGATATATTTTTTTGCAAATTTTGATACGATTCGTAAAGTAGTAAGTTTAAATTGAGTTACAAAATCGTATTTTTCTTTTGTTCACATTTTTAAAAATGGCTACGTTTTCAACACCTAAAAATGTTCATTCTGAGTCTTTTTTCTATTTTTTCATCTCCACATTTCTAAGTTCATTCATACATTCATTCAGAAAGGAAAGTTTACAAATTTGCTTTTTAAATTAGTACACAATGTCACTGATTTTCAACTTTCTTTTCGATTCCGAAATGTTGCATCAAAATTAATGCATTGGGATTTGTAAACCAGTAAAGATTCAAGTTAAGGTTAAAAAAATAGCAGCACATTTTAAATGATTTTAACCATTTTTCATTGTGATTTGTAAAGTTGTAAAATCTCAAGGTTCCTTCGATAAAATTGCTACACAATTTGGGCAATTTTAATTTAAATAGCCATACATTTTTTAAGGTTTTTGTGTGCATTGTGCTAAAATTTACGAAATTAGCCAGCGCCAAAAAGAAATCGCAGACAGGTTTTTTTCATTTTATTTTCTCGTGATCTGTAATTCAGTCCATTTTGAAAGTTTTTGAAACAATTAGGATTACAATTTTATGGACTTTCTTAATTCATTTTCATTTATGCATATGCAGGTAGTTGACATAAAAAAACATCTAAATATTTTTTTTCCCTTATGAAGCATTAAAAGCTCGTTTACAAATTGCTTCAAAATTTATTTTTCTTAAATTTCTGAAAAAGATTTTGTGAAAATTTCAATTTAACTCAATGTTATTTAAACTCGCATCTAAAATGACTTGACATAGGGACAATTGATGTCCCATTTGCATACTTCAATGATTTTAGCAATTTAAAAAAAATTGTGATTTGTATTGCGGTAAAAACTCATGTTTTTTAATTAAATGGAAACAAGTTAAAGATTTTTTTTATCTTATTTCCATTTTGAAGCCATAAAAAGTCAAGTTTACAACTTCTGCAACATCTACACACATTTTATTATTTCAGTTTAATTTAACACCTATAACGGTCACATTTGATTGAATTATGCCCACTTGCGCACTTGTTCAAGTTGAAAACGGTGGCGTAATGTCCTGCACTTTGGGCGGCAAACGTTGGCCAACATGGCGCTCGCGTGTGTCCTCCATTTGTGACTTTACCGAAACAGTATTTTTTTGTTGTTGTTGTTGGATTTGAACGTGTGTTTTTAACAAAGCCAGTATTACAAAGTCTTTACACAATTGTTTTTTTATGTATTATTTATGGGTTTTTTTTCTTTTTTTTTTTTTTTGGTATTTTCCTTATGTCGGTTATTTATTACGCATTATTATTGGTAGTGTACATGACTTTAGGATGAATTCATAACAATAATATATTTTAGTATGAAAAACAACAAATCAAAGAAACTAAGCCCACTGCTTGGTTCTGGGACTTTTCTGGGTTTGTTTTACAGAAAAAAAGAGAAAAAAACAAAATAAAAACTAAAAATATTCATCATTGTATTATCTTAAAGTGTTAAAAGAAATGAACCCGAATGAAAGTGTTACACATCGTCATTATGAAGCTACTGACTGAAAACGCATGAGATGAAGCTCCACCCCTTTTATTTTTTTCTTATTTGCTCTGTTATGGTCGTGCCATCGTGTTGCATCACGTTTGTCCTTTTTTGTAATGTTTGTCCCTTCACAATAAACATGTGACTGCATCCCTGACTTCTGGTTGGGTCAACCTTGATGTTTTCGAAATCTGACATGCACCCCCTTGAAAAAACTTGGTGCACCTCTCTGTCCCCTCATATACTGCCATAAAAAAAAAGATCCAAACTCCTTCCAAATTATGCACAAGCATTAGTCGAAATATCTTTACCCGCTTCAAAATTCCCACAGAGTTGGCGCACCTTTCCTAAAGCCCCTCGACCCTGCATATACAAAAAAAAAAAATTAATTGATTAAAGCAAAATATAGACAAATGCCAGTGGAAATTAATGACTTTTGATTGCTGTACATCCCCTTCAATATCACAGATCTGGTGCACTCCCCAAAAAAGCAAACCAAGGTATGTTTACAGACAATAAAGCATATATGTTGAAAATTAAGTGACTGAAGTAAATTGTAGATGGTGAATGTCATAGATCAGAGCCTTTCCCAACTTTTGAAGATGCACCACCACACAACCCCTGGAAACCCTCAAAGGATTAGCCAACTAGCCAATAAAGGCCTCATGTTTCGTCATGCAACGCGTCAAGCAAACCCCCTCTAACCCTGCATATGCAAAAAAAATTTTTTTAAATAGATTAAAGCAAAATATAGACAAATGCCAGTGGAAATTAATGACTTTTGATTGCTGTACATCCCCTTCAATATGACAGATCTGGTACACTCCCCAAAAAGGCAAACCAAGGTATGTTTACAGACAATAAAGCGTATATGTTGAAAATTAAGTAACTGAAGTAAATTGTAGATGGTGAATGTCATAGATCAGAGCCTTTCCCAACTTTTGAATATGCACCACCACACAACCCCTGGAATTCCTCAAAGGATTAGCCAACTAGCCAATAAAGGCCTCATGTTTCGTCATGCAACGCGTCAAGTTTAAATCAAGTCAAGGAAGTTTAAAAAAAAAAGCTAACAAACAAGTGCCCACTAGATGGCGCGAGAAGGCAAGCAAATGTCGCACTTTGCTGGAGCACTCACTTTTCACCGATTCCATTTGAAAAAAAAAATCTGTCTCGAGCGCGCAGTGCAGCAGACACAAATAATTGGAAGCAAAGTAATGAAAAGAATAAAAAGCTCGCGTGTGTGATAAAGTGACTAAGTGCAGCTTTTAAGTGTTCTGAATGTAAATGTGAGGCAGCAGCAGCAGTAGCATAACAAAAGGGCACGTGAGTGCTTTGCTTAAAAGGCTGTGATGAATATTCACGCGGCATTGTGCACCTGATTGCCCCCCCCCCCCACTCCATCCAGTGCCACTGAAAAATGCATTTTCTTTTTCAAAAGTACAAAAGCACGTTAGGGTAATGATTATGCCAGTCACACAAAGAGAAGACTTCAGTTTGGACAAAAACGAAGTTGTGATCAGGAGCCGAGGAGCACTTGACAGCAAAATTCAACAAGGCCACAAGGCGTGTGCACGTGCCACCATATGAAAATATTTTACGTGTGTGAGTACAAATGAGTGTGTTTATGTAACCGCAAAATCACGAAATCAAATTAAACAGTTGTTAAAATGTCGTTTTTTTAAACTTATACACGTAAAACATTAAAAAAAATAATTTATCTATTTTTTTCAAATTGCACATTAAAAATAAAAATTGAGAAAAACAAACCAGAGAACAGAAAAGATTTGCCCTTAAAAATAAGACAATAAATGTAAAATAGAAGAATTTAAAAAATCTATAAGACCCTTTTTTCCGTCCAAAAAAAAAATAAATTCTTTCCGGTTCCGCCCCCTCCTCTTCCTGGTTGCCTGCCAACCACAACAACTCCCTGATGCTACGTCACCTCACCTGTACGAGGATTAAGATTTGATTTAAATTGTGCAACTTTTCTTTTTTGCTCCCCAGTCTTGCTGGCAGCTTCCTTGGCAGCGCAGACGTGAATCCTCGTGTTGGCACTTTTCACTTGAGAGGACATTATTAAGAACTTATTTTTTAGGGATGCTTTTGAAAAAGGTGACACCCCCCCACCCAGTGTGAGACAGCGCTTCCAATCCTCTTTTGAGTGAGAGTGTGACTGTCAGCAATACCTGAGCGCGCGCGCGCGCACACACACACACACACACACACACACACACACACACACACACACACACACACACACACACACACACACACACACACACACACACACCTACCTGCCTTTAAATACATCCATTTGCAAATGTATTATTCATGCTGGCCTGGTAATGTATTTTTTATTTTATTTTATTTTTTACCTGATGTTTAATGCATTGCGGCACAGCAGCTTGCTGAGACATGTTGTGTAATAATAGCTCGCTAACATGTCATCAAAGCTTCTGGATGCTGGAAAGGTTCCCACTAAAAACGTGAGCGAGCATCCAAAGACAAAGTGTTAATGTTTGAGTTTGACCTGTGCATTATGATAGTCACTTTAAAATAATCAATAAAAATTAAAGTTTTAAAAAAATCGTTAAAACTAAATGTAAACTTATTCATTAAAAGTAACACTTATAAAGTACCGGTATACAGTATAAATAAAGTAGAAACAAAATACTACAAATTAAAATCATGATTAAAGTGGGCTTCAAAGTAGATTTTCAAACTAGGGTTTGGCTTTCAAAATGAGGGTTCAACTAGGCATCATGGAAGTTGACATGTTTGACTTGCTTTTGATGTGACGGGCCAGATCTGGCTACTTTGTGTAGCACCTTTCTCCATTTCTACAAGTGTGAGGCACAAAAAATTTATTTACATGCAGTATCTGGAATATATCCCACTGGATTATTGCCGAGCAACAACGAGACACGCCAAATTGGCCACACCAGCATGATGTCCAGGCCCACAACATTGGCAATTCAAGTTGGACTTTATTCTTTCTTTTTAATTTGCCCCACTTGCTTTCCCTAATGTCCATGCATTACTTGTGAGCACTGACACCAAACAATAAGGCGCTCTAAAGGGACCATGCCAGCAGACGATTCGAAACGAAAAACAGTTAAAGGCTTTCTCTCCACAACTCAGTACTACATAGTTGTAAGTCTTTGCACATTTTCATCCATTACGTTCAACCATGTATAATGACAAATTTCAGAATTATTTTTCCAGGGTCTTGAAAATCTTGTAATCACCCGCATAGTTTGTAAAGTCCCCATCTTTACTTGTATTCATTACTGTATCTCCACAAACTGTTGTTATTTGCTCGCATGCTATTTGATGAGCGACGGTGTCATCTACAGCATGCGGCGACCCGCATTGCTGTATCCTGCAGGAGGTCAAGAAAATACATCTCCTCTCATAGCGGGCCACCTCTAATGACAAAGTCTACTGCCCGGCGTTTGTAATCTGAGCATCTGCTGAGACGATTGCTGTAATTATGACAATTTGTCCCGCGCATGGCAGGCTGGACCTGCAGGAGGTCATAGAAAAGTGTCTCTGCTTCATTCATGACTGAACTTGAATGTCTTGACTGTTGGGCAGACGTGGCTAATGTTTTGGGTACCAGTTTGTTTGGAGCTCAGGATGTTGTTGTGAAAGTCTGTCTCTCACTCTAAACAATCATTTCCGATTGGAGGATTCCAATCAAAAAGGGCCGACGTTATCTTTCCAGGTAGTCACGACTCAGCTCATTACTCAACCGTCATTCGAGGAAAATCTGATCATATTTACCAAAATGTCTCTCCTGCCAAAATAACAGATGCAATCTTTGCACAAGCCTCTGCCGTTTTGCTTTCAAGCCTCACGGAGCTGACGAGGGGGTACACACACCCCTTCATCATAACCCCCCACAATGCGAATGGCAGCGTGGGATTAAAGACGACACGCAAAATGAGAGCGCCACTCAGCAGGCCCGTGGGGGCATCTCGCTCCGTTCACGGTACTACTGCTTCTGTTGCATCGACGCGCAAACTGTTCATGTTCCACAGGGGGGAAAAAAAAAGAACTCAGATGCCAAATTTAGTGGTATTTTTATTCCCATAATGCCACAGGGGTTTGACTTCCACATGGGCTTAAATGTGCACAATTGGATACGCAAAAGTCAATAACCTGTGGCATAATGGGAAAATGCTAGCTTTTTAGTATTTAGCCTGTTTTACCACAACATTAGAATGAGTTTGAATGACAGTTAAAAATGTTTTACTCTACATTGGCAGTTGATAGCGTTTGAATTGCACGCTAGCACCGGCATTCATCGCAATCACAAGAGAAGCATTTTACAGCAGCAAAAATGTGATCGATGATCGTTCTGTTTGAATTTTGTGCTGGCGCCCAGGACCTAATTAAAACAAATTGTCATCAAATTTGATTCATTTCATTTTCAAGAGAGATAAGAGCGCACATGTCCAGAACCAAAACACACATTTTATTCTTTGAATGCATTTCAATTTGTTGAATGATATCGCCGCAATGAATTGCGATAACGAGCGGACGTGTTTCTATCAGCAAAACGGTGCGAACATTTTGTTCTTGATTGTGTCTAAAATCAACAAGCGGCTGCGTTTTTATCAGTGACAATAACCAGCGAAGCTGTTTATATGTCGGCATGAACAACAATTGCTGAACATTCCGGATGAGTATAATTCATGAATATCTATCTATCTATCTATGAAATTCATTCCATCTAGAAAAAAAAAGTGTTTTAAAAAAATTTCAAGTGTTTAATAGCACACACAGCCATAATCAAAAGCACATTTTGTACTTTGACCGAATCTGTCGAGCTTTCGCGGCGCAATTAAAAGTGATATGGTTGATATTGGTGCCAATAAAAGAAAAAGAGGGTTGTACAGTAGTTATTCATAAAACCATTTTTTTTAATATCATCAAACAGTGTGTCAACAAACAAAAACAAGAAAGAAAAACAATCGGCTTCAAATATTTTGGGACATAATTATAGCAGCTGACGCACACTCATTGACATCATTAAGTTAACAGAAATTAACATTTTCATCAGCCAGGTGTTGTGGAAAAAAAAAGTGCTTGAGAAAGCGACAGAATGTGGAAAAAGAATGGTGGCCAAAAGTATTGGGACACCAATTATAAGTAGAAGTGGAAAGAAAATGCGGACAATGGTCATGGGACACATCCAGGGCGTGAAAAAAAACAACAAAACAATGTGGACAAAAGTGTTTGGACACCCACAGGAAATGGAAACAGTGAAGAAAATATTTGGAAATCCACCATAAACTGGACAAACGCTTTGGGGATGCCGACAGGCTGTTTAGAGATGAACAGGAAGTGAAAAGAAATTGCGGTCAGAGTTTTGGGACAACTAGGTGAAGAAAATGTGCATTTCGAACAAAAGTATTGGGACACCTGCAGGAACCGAAAAAAAGTGGGCAAAAAGTATTGGTACACACATCGGAGGTGAACAGTGATGAATTTGTGGAGTATTGAGAAAAGTTTCGGGAGAGCGCCAGGACATTTGACAAAAGTATTGGGACACAAATAGGCATCCGACAAGCGATTGAGGAGTTTGGATCAAAACATTGCGACTACAGAAAAGGAAAAATTGAAGGAAATGTGGACTTGGTGGACCAGATTGATTGACTGATTCACAGATCGAGAAATCCGGGTCCCAATTTTGCCGCCTTTTCTTTCATTTCCTTTGCCCAGACCGACCGTCTGCTGCGCAAACGCTTTTGTTTCTTTTCCACCTTTTTTCTTCAGGAGCTGCAAGAAGGGAACGAAAATAAAACAGCAGAAAAGGGAAAAAGTTCCGGAGATGAAATGTAGAGATGCACCTTGAAGTCATTGAAACTGTCCTCATTAAAACGCTCGGCGTCTGCTTGACAAACAGCTGCCGCGCCATCGATCAGGTTGGCTTCGCTCCACTGCAACGCGTCTTCATTACGTCCATGAGCACCCGAGACGTCGCGCTCGTTGCCGTCAAAAGGAACTTTTTCCGAAAACAAGCGACGCCGATGCGGGAACAGACGCCAGAGGCCTCCTTTGGAGACGCTTCAAAGCTTGAAAAGCTCTCGGAGGACTTTTAGTGAGCTGTCGCAAGCTCGCAGCGGGTGGGAGAAACATGAAATAAAAATGACAAAAAAAGACCAAAAAAAAAAAGCCAGCTTTTGAGGAAATAAAGACATTTCACGGACGAATTTTGGATTTCCCGTCTCATGTTGGCAACCTTGATGGGATTAATAATTCATCTGGACAAGAACAGAGCAACAATTGGATGTCTTTTATCAGCCTCGCTCGACCTCCGCCAAGGCAACAAAAGTGGAGTGTCATATTTTGTTCATGGTTACGATCACGTCAGGATTTTCATCTTTTTTTTTCTTTAACAGTAGTTCATTTGATTTTCATTTCATATAGATGAAATAAAAAAAAAAAAAGTTAAAAAAATTGAGAAAAGTAATAGCACACCCATCCAAAATGAATCTCACATTTTGTTCTTTGATCGCATTGGAATCCGCCGAACGGCTATCACTGCTATTCATCGCAATCGTTGACAAAATACATTTTTCTTTGCGCGTTCTTTTCCACATATCACACGATCTGACATTTAATCTCAATCCAAAATTTTGGAAAACAAAAGAATAGCACACATGCCCGTAACGGAACACATATTTTGTTGTTTTTGTTTAAATTTGTCAAGCACGATCACAATAAATTTCTCGATGCGCACCTTTATCCAGATCCGTTATCCTTTTGCGTCTTTTTTTCACAAAACGACTTTGCGGTTACCTGTTTCTTGTTGCTTTGGCGTGTACCTTACAGCCTGTGATACTCACATACTTGAGAACATGCTGGAATCACCCGGATCATGTTTACTCACCATGCTCCATGGGAAAAACTGAAAAATCATTTCAGAAGTCATCCCAAAGTTTGTACAAAGACACAAAGTCACCATTGACATTGTTGAATATTTACAGGTGTATACAACGATTACACGTGTGACCCAGCATGTCTTATTGTGCTGTCAAGTTCTGCGGTACGCGCTCCATAGCCGCGTTTTTTTTAAATGAAGTATTCCTTTGGGTTTTGCCCCGAGGTATTCTGGGAGTCCGTCTGGTGTTCAAAGGCTAAGTCCTGGCTTTCATCCCGGTGCCCGCTTTTCACTTCCTGGTTCCGGTAAGTCTCCTTCCGCCGATACAGGAACTTGGCTGCCACGGCCAGACCGGCCACCGTCACGAAGATGATCACCGCGATCACGCCTGCCAGGAAAAGGCACCAATATATTCAATTACGAAATGTAATCGCCAGAGAACAGTCTCTAAATCTGTTAATACTTGTATTTCATATGAAAGAATTTTAGTGGCATGGTGTTCAACTGGTTAGCACTGTGTAGGTTTTCTCCCACATTCCAAAAACATGCATGGCAGGAGTGTGATTCAGCTTTTGATGTAACATTTGTCCAGCAAAGAATAACATCTTCGAGACAAAATAATAAAAAGTAAAAAAATTATGATAAAAGGTTGGAACATGACTTGTCTTACCATATTGACAGAATTGTCAAATTTGAAATTTTTAATTTGTCTATGGAGCAGTGATAATCGAGGCCGATAAATTCTACCAAGCAACAGCAAGAGCTGGAGTGAAAGTCACCAGTGTTTTATCGTTTCTTTATTACACCATGCGGTACAGAAAGTATGAATACATAAGAGTGAGTGAAAATTCCAAACTGTTCAGCTTTGATCGAGCGTCATGTACAGTATACCACCTAGCAAAAACTGGCCACTTGGGAAAAGTACGCCTAAATCTAAAATAGTCATACTAACTCATAATTAATATGGCTGTGGAAGCCAAATGTTGGTATCCATTTTACCAAACTAAAAAGTGTTGCGCTCTGTTAACATTTATGACACTTTAACTGAATAGGACTAAAAATTTTATATTTCTAAGGGAACACTTACATTTTTGGGGATTTATTTATGTTGCATCATGACGTCATCGATTTTACGACGTCTGGTGGGCGGTCTCGCGAGTCGGCCATGTTGGATTTACCCGAGTGAGGAGTTGATTTCAGGACAGACCTCCCGATGTGGATGTGGTAAACATTTAAATTAGTTTTTTATTTGGTTTCAATGCGCACTTTTATTTTCCTGCTTGAAGTGGACACCCGGTCCTCGTTTTCATTCTTTAACTGATGTTTCATGTCCTCGTTTTCATCAGCGCTCTGATTTGGTAAGTAATGCTAAACAGTTTTGTTTGAATTTCGATAGTCTAAAATGTTGACGGTCTATTTTCGAACTGGACATACATTTGTATAATGTTCACGATATTAATTTATGACGAATACTTGATCCGTCATTATAAATCCAATAATCCAATTAGAAGTTGTCAATGCTGCAAATGTTGGTTGTTTCGTCTTACACTGGAGTAAAGTTAACGTGCGTCGCCAGAAGTAACTTATTTAGTTTATTCGATTATGTCTTCGGTGACGTTAAACTGACCGTCGAAACTTGCATATCGGTAAAAAAAAAAATTGGAGGTCATTGGCGGATTTCAGTGATGTACTACATTTCCCACAATGCAGGTTTTCGTGCTACATTTTCTCCCGCCGCCGAAGCGCCAATGCGCGGCAAAAGGCATCGACACTACGTCCTTGGTTGAAACGAACAATAATGCTAATTAGCATGGATGTGTCACTGTACTATTAACCCAAGGCTCTGTGAACGCATTTCTTTGTAGCGTGTGTCGCTCTTGTGAGGTGTACGGATGAATCCGGGCGTCTCCAAATCCATTTAAGAGTTTCATGTAAGATGTAATGAATTGTATTTGATGTGTTTCCCCATGCATTTTATCGCAAATGAGACTTCCTTTAAATGTTTTTCCCTTCGTGGGCTCCCTAGAAAAAAAGTTCGACCTCTTTCTCCTTTTTTTTTATTTTTTTTATTAATACTTTGTTAAAAACAGTTACAACGACATCGATAACATACGCTGTGGTTATTTTGGCGTGAATCGCACTAGATTTCAAGTACAAATTATTCCCCGGGTAAAGTGTACTCGGCCGTGAGGTAGCGGGAAGAGCGTTCGTCCCATTCGTCACTGGTTGAAATCCCGCTCCGTACCTTTTTATTTTATTTATTAATTTTTGCACTATGTTTACAATTCCTTGCAGCCAATCGTGAGTTGTAAACAAGATGTTTAATTTTAAGGGTTTATAGAATAATTAACAATTATCCAGTTGAACAATGTCGGTGTAGTTTGTGACGAATCTGGAGAGAGGAAAAACAAAATAATGGACTGACATTGCCCTAAATAATACAGCTGGATTCCGGAGCCAAAGTACGTAATGAATGGAAATGTTTATATTCACGTTTAATGTGTCATTATGTAACAACTATTTTTTTAATCTCAAATAACTTATCTTTGTGCTCATGTTGTGTACAGACATTGGACTGGATTGAAGAGTGCGTCAAAGAGTTAGTGTTTATCACCCGGAATCGAATTGGTGAGTTGTGTAAATTGTGTACTACTTTGAAAGAAAAAAATGTCTTCTCCAACAAATTCAAAATTTAACTACTTGTTATTTGTTACACACAAAAAATGTGTTCTGTGACCTTGTTATGGTTTAAAGTGTATGAAATGTTGTAGAGTACTGTACTGAATAAGTGCGATACAAAGATTCCAGTTGCAAACATGCTAGGGGGAGAGTCTCATCACATATTGCAGATGGCCATGTTTTTCTTTCTAGGCGTTTTACCTTTCAGACAGAGCATTGACTGAATTATGTAATGCCAGTATTTAACAGGTCCCATTCATTCTGCATTGCAACAAGTGACGATAAAGGCATAATAGGGCAACTGAGTGAAGAAAGAAAAGAAAAAAAAAATTTCATGGAAATCTTAGTTATAGTGGCCTTTGGGACAGATTTGCTTTTACATTCCAGTGAAAATGTTTGCTACCTCCAATGAGTGCCGAGTCTGTCCGCATGGCATTGACTAAAGGCTGGCCAGAACTGGACGGGTCTAGAGCAGAGGAAGACAAGAAGAAGAGGAAGAGAAAGGAGATGAGAAGAGAAGGAGGAAAAGTTAGGGCAAAGCAGACTGCCACATAACGCAGATGTCTGACGAGGCAAAAAGCAACCAGGTGGAAAGTAAACAGATTAATTAGACAGATCATAGCGACGCAAGCACAACACTCAGCACAGTGGAAATACCTCTACAGTGATCTCAAACCATCCCTTCATCCTTCCATCCATTCAAACATCCTATGTTGTCATAACCAAGTAAGATGTTGTACTGTACTAGCACTCTTCAGTATTAAATATTATATCAAATATTCAGTATCAAAAGCCATTAAATACAAACTAAAGTGGAATTTTCAACACCATGATGGAAAAATACACGTTTTTACTACATTTTTGTAAATCAGAGATACAAATAAACTTTTCTAAATGAATTTTCTGTGCTGATCTTGGATGTGCCATTGTTTTTGTTGTTTTTTTTTCTCGAGCACATCAGGTTTTTGTAATACCACTTCGACTATTAACAATAATAAAACAACAACAAATATATGTAATATAGTAATATTACTGATTAGTAATACTTATGAAGTAGGTCTTAGGTTCAGCAATAGGTGGATCTTTTTCTGAATTGACGTAATGACAAGTTGCCGATGGTATCGTGGTACACTCGCCTGATTTGTGTGCGGGCAGCATGGAATCAGTTCCCACTCAGTGACGGTGTGGATGTGGGCGTGAATGTTGATTTGTCTCTATATGTGCTCTGTGCCTGACTGGCGACCGATTCAGGGTGTAGTCTGCCTTCCGCCCAAAGTCAGATGGAATAAGTTTCAGCAACTCCCCGTGACCCTCTTCAGAAGAAGCGGTGTTGAAAATGGATGGATGACATAACTATAAACCTCAAGGCATGGTGGTAAAATCCCTACTGCGCCAGCTTTTATGTCAGACTGACAAAAATAAATAAATCAATAAACCCTTTAAAAAAAAAAAGACGCTAGGAAACAATTTAGGACTTTTTGAAATCTGTGACAAAAAATACACGAGTAGATACTGTACATAAAACTATCTCTGATTAAAACTTGCTCTTGACCAGTGTAAGTGATCAAAAATTCAGTTAGCATTAGCATGATTAGCAAGTAGCGGAAAAGTCTCTCACCTGACAGGTGCGGTGTGTTGTGCGCGGCATAAGGACTGGACGCGGCCGGTGAACCACAGTTGGAGCGGACCAGCGGGCCGCTGATGTGCACGGTTCCGCCATGCGGACGGAGCAGCGCCTCCTTGAGGGGGCTGACGGAATTGAAGCGAACCACTGACAGACAACCACTGAAGCCCAGCGAGGACAAGCGGATCAGATTTGGATCCACTTCTTCCGACTCTGTGACAAACGAGGGGACGATCCAGTTGAGATTTGAGTGCACGGTAACTAGCTGACTTATGACAGCTTTTGTTGGCATGACTTCATTTGTGCATTAATTCCTTGTCACAGCACAACTTTTTGTTATTGCTATTGTGACTGTATTTTTTTTCCTCATCTTTTCACTTTTTATCTTATTATAACTTTTCCTAAAAACATTTTGAGGATTTTACATTGCACCTTTTCATGTAATCTACAACTTTTTAAAAATGTTTTATGATGACAATTTTCTTGTGTTCATATGCACAAACAGGCACGTTTGTCAGCCATTAGTTGTACTCATTTTCGACAGAATATTTTGCGAATGTTGGCTGGCAAATGGGCAGGTGTTCACTGCACCCTCTTCATCATCATGACTGTGTGGGATTGACACATGTGGCCTAAAAGCTCCTCTAGGCCCAAACCGTCCATCATGGCTCTGCCACCCACCGTGTTTGTGCCTCCATTTGTGGCCGTGATGGATGGCGGGGTTGGCTAGACGCGACAGAAAATCCACTTTCTCATCGCCTTTCTTCGATGACGATTTGACAACAGCAGCTAAAACACTAGCGGAAAGCATACCGACACCCTCAGACGAGTTGGCGTTAACATTAGACCGGAGCAGGTCACTTGTTTGACTGACAGGCTTTTTGTCTCTGAGGCATAAGGACAGCCAGCATTTTTCAGCCTGTACCTTAACAATGGAACACATCAAAATGGGACATGACCATGTTCCAAGAGAGCTTCTGGATGACTGTTGCAGTTTCTCACATTCAAATAACCACTGTTGAGTGTACGTGATTCATATTTGGTAGGAATCGTACAAAATATATAGGACAAGTTTGTCTTTGAAGCAGCCCTGAATATGACCAAAATTTGACTAGATGTGTGTTTTCTGGCACGGGTTCTTGAGACTTTTGGTGGATCTACCCATGTTTTCATGTCTACCAAATTTCATGCCGCTTGGTTAAACCTGTTTTGGGGTCTGAATTTCCCACTCTTATTTTGGTGCACTCACCCTGCACTTTGCCGAGCAACAGTGACCTGATGCCGTTGAATTCGCCGTCAGACGTCAAATTGAAGTCTTCTCTGGTACTTTGGTCAATCTGAATAAGGGAAACACAATATGGCTTGATGTTAACGGCGAAGAAAGTTATTTTTGTGGATTAGCAGTTAGCGACTTGAGGATGACTACCCCTTGCTGTGTTCTGAGAGAGCTAGGTAATACGTTGCTCTCAGCAGTCGACCATGGGAGTGGGAAAACGCGCCTCAACAGAATTAGAAACTCATATGAAAAGCATTCAATCAAAGTTCTCCACTGGAGGTGATTTTAATGAGGGCAAAAGTGAGGAGAAAGACAGTTTTGTCATCAAAAGGTTAGAGCTTTGATTCCATGTGACAGCAAAGATTCGGAGAAACTTTTTAATAGTGTTTGACTTGCGTCAAATATCACTTGACTGCTTTTATAACTTACAACTTCAGCGAGTTGGGGGTGGGGGGCATTTTGGTCGTGTTCTAACCATGTGGATTTGACTCCCTAAAATACTCGCTTTCGATCACAATGGTTGACTTCCCTCGCCTTTTCTTGCAAGGCTTCTTGAGATTTTTTGTGGGTCTATTCATAATAAATATGCGTACCAAACGTCATGTTGCCAAGTGAAACTGGCTTGAGGGGCTACATTTTCAAAAATGCATGAGATGTTTCATACAGTGTAGTGTAACATAGGTAACCTACACACATCCGACAACTCCACAGCTCTGTTTGGCATTCGGCTTTAACATGATAGTGTTTGACAAGTCAAAAAGCAAACATCTCCAGCTCTTCATTTTAGAATTCTGCAGAAGACCTTTGCCAAGTGAACCATGACTCCCTTACATCTTGTCAGACAGACGGTGAACCTTTAACTCTGAGCAACCCCAGGCAGCCTGCAGCAGACTCCCCTGCTCGCAAGTCCGACACCGTTTGTCGAGCTAAAGCCTTGAATCCTGGCAGAAATCTTTTAAGTTCCTTCTTCAAATAGGCAAGCCAGCCAGCCGGCGAGGCAGCTAGTCGGCCCCTGGAGCTCCTTTCAAGTCAAGCAGGCGATTTAAGAGTTTCCTAGAAAAAAGTAGCTCTGAATGGGGGAAATAACATACATAAATTGCACGCTTTTGCAATCTTTAGCATCCAAAACGTTACTCACGGCGCCATTGCTTGAATTAAGCGATGTATGATCGTTTTAGTTTGTATAAGCACTTGAAACAATTGTGTTAGCAATGATGCTAATGCTAACACAGCACTGCACCTCCCACACAAACTGCTCTAGCCAGCTAGACGGGGTTGTCATACAAGCACTGTCTTATCATTTAAAGTCTGAACATCGATTAATCGTGTTTACCGAACAGTTTTTAAAAAAGCTCAAATGAACAATTTAACTGTTTTTTTTAACCTTTTTGAATAAAATGTAAATATAATTACTTAAAAATATATTTGCAATTACATTGCATAACTATGAATCATAGTTATGAGCTTTATTACATTATTAAAAGGAAAAGCTTTACAAATGCCATTTTACATTTCAATATTTGTCTGACTTCCATTTGAATTGCACGCCTGGGTTCTTGAGACTTATTCATGCATCTCGGTAAGATTTCCACTAAAGTTTTATGTCAGGGAGCACTAGTTTTTAAACTAAGTAATGAGCTACTGAGCAAGCTTTGGGAAATGTATTGATTTTTTTGGCATATTCCATTTGTTTGTTTGGTGTTACCTGCAGAGACACGGCATCCGTCACTCTGCTAACGACCACCGTATGCAGACGACCGTCGGCTAAACCCTTGGCTTGGCTCCTCAACACTTCAGCTTCCTTGTTGCCGTGGAGTTTGTAGTGCACTTCCAGCTTATCTGCGGTGCGCACGCACGCACACACACACACACACACACACACACACACACACACACACACACCAAACCTTTTCTCATTTCTTATCTTACGAATATTACCAAGTTGCATCTTTCATCCGTGTGTTGACTCTCAATGAGGAGCTTTGCGTCTTAAAGAGGATAAATCCTCATTGCCTATCAATAACAGTAATTAATTTTGCTAATATTACACCGGCGTTAAGAGGAGACGTTCTGAGGCCTTTGAGGCAGCATGGGGATAAAACACATTGTCCTTCACACGAGCTATTTAGAGCCGCTTTCGAACCAGCTAATTAATCCCGTAAAGAACAGCGCTGGGCGGGAGGTTATTTTTATAACAGCAAATGGAGGAAACAATACACCACCTAAAGAACCCCGCCAAGATTTTAATAGCCTTTTTAGCATGTAATGTTAGCATTTAGAGCTATTTTAGTTGCATTTCATTGCACTCATCTCTAAAAAAGACAAATGGGAATCGCACCCATTTGAGTGAGGACCTTTGCCAAGGTTGAAATGTGAGCAATTAATGGACAACTCACTTTATCCTGTTAGCTTAAGTTGCTAATGTCGTTGCGCACCGTCCTGCAGCATCTCAGAATACAAAAGAGGAGATGTTTAGGGTTAACCTTGTAGCGGCCCTATAACAACACTCGACAAAGTTACGTGAGAGTTTATTGTGACCTTCCATTAAAAAGCGCTGGTCATGTCTCACTAACGACATCGGTGGACTTTCCCTCCTCCCAGCCGAGGCTAAAAAGCTAATAACGGGCACAGCTGGAGCGATTAAAAAGGCAACAGAGGCTGACAGGATGACTGCGGCCACAGGAGGAAGCGACTGACATTGCTTGATAGGATTGCTGTAGCAAAAGAAGAAGCGGGGAGGCGGGGGGTCAACATCATGTGAAGACGATGGGCTTGGTCAACAAGATAAGACGGGATGCAGTGAAGGTGAGCGTCTGAGAAGAAAATGAAAGGTGAGGAATCCAGGATGAATTCTTGGGGGTTTTTTTTTTTTTTTTTTTTGCAAATCATCATCAAGCTTTGATGCCATGTTGTAACCACATTTTTGGCATAGGCAAGAAAAAAAAAGAAAAAGCTTGGCAATTTGGCATCGCCTCGTTGTCATGCATTTAGTCTGTTTAAATACAAGCCTTGGAATGTGTCCAAAGTGGTCTCAATGGTTTCAAACAATATTGGCTGCCTTCCCATTCAATTGTAGGCATGGTTCCTTGAGACGTTTTTGTGCTTCCAGTCGACATATGAACCCAGTTATGGGCTGATTGGAGAAACAGGTGTCAGGGGCAGTTTTTTCCCCCCTAACTTTCCAGGTGGTGCGGTTGAGTGAGAAATGGCTGTTTTAAACCAAAATGGACAACGTCAACTTCACTTTCATGCATGGGTTGTGGTTTTTTTTTTTCATGCATTCTGGCATAATGAATTCCACCAAGATTCGGTTTGATCTGCAAAGCAGGTGTTGGGGGCTACTTTTTTCTCATTTTCATGGGGTGCTACTGAATAATAGATGGCTGCTTCACTTCAAACTAAAATGGCCAGATTCATATTCAATTTCGGGCATTAGTACTTGAAACTTTTTCATGTGTTCTGTCATGATTGACATATCCACCAAATTTTGTGATAATGGATGAAACTGGATGATGAAAAAAAAAAAACTGCCTTACCATGCTTGTTGATGAGCAGTGCCAGGTACTCTCGCTGGTATGATGATACGAAGAGCAGGAGTGCAGGACTCTGGCTGGTTCGGAAGCTCAGTGACACGTTTTCCGCTCTCAGGCTCAGGTCGGACAAGATGGAGGATGGTAGCTTGGCGCTGACATTCCCGCCGCCTCGCTCAGAGGCCTCCATCTGGAAGGCGTAGTGGACAGATGTTGTCGGCTTGAAGATAGCCGACAGCTCTGGAGAAAGGACGCAGATTTAGTGTTGGCCATCTCAGTGCAGTGTTTCATGCAGTTGATCATAATGTACTGTTGAGCTAACTGGAAACTTGGGTAGGATTAATTGGAACAGTCTTTAAATGGTTCAGGTCCTACTTGAAGGAAAGTTGTTATTTTGTGACCCTTGAAAGTTTTGAGTCTGATCGAATGGCTATGACATCTGGGGTGCCTCAAGGGTCAGTCCTTGGACCCTTTTTGTTCAGTCTGTATATGTTACCCTTAGGTCAAATGTTTCAGCACACCAAGGTTGGCTATCATGGCTATGCAGCTATGTTGATCAATGTCCCCAAATGACAGCAGTTCAATTATCGTGTCGTGTCACTGTCTGAAGCAAATTAACACCACTCTCACCTGCATGACAGAATACTCCGTCATAGGCCGACTGGTCACAGTCGCAGTGAAATCCGTTGTTCCGCTCCATGCAGCGTCCATGGTTGCGACATAGCGCACCATAGCTGTCGCAGTGACCTGGGCAGCCTGGCCGGACGCCGGGCGTGATGCGCGCCCTCTCTTCCAGGTCCATGGTGGCGCCGTTGAGCTGCAAGGAGCGGATGCAACCACGGAAACCCTTCTGGCGTGACGCTGTCCCGCCTACACATGCATATTATCATTATTAGATTATTTTGACAAATGTTTGGGTTTTCTCTTTTGGGGAATTTATTATGATTTATTTATATATATTCTTTCAAATTAACTCATGATCTTGCACAACTGGGATTTATGGTAAATTATTTCAACCAGTTCAGGTTTTAGCATATTTACAGTACTCTTATTTGAATCATTTACTTTCAACTGGTGCACCTTTCGGAGGAATTATTTTAATATCATTCTAACCTACGGAGCATTAGGGGAATGTACGGTCGAAAATGCACCACTCCTGCTGCACCAAACCTTTCCCACTCTCATGTAATCTCTGGGATCAAGGGTGGCTGTGAATAATGATGCTTGATATCCTCTTCGGAAAACAAATCCACCCGAGTGTTCAGGTAAACTCGGTTTTGCACAGTACTGGCCCAAAATCACTATTTCCTGCCGCTTCCCGATGCAATCTGTTCACTTGTTTGCTGGCTTGTTGACGGACATGAAGTGACATCTTGTGCTGAGATTTGCACAACAATAAAAATTAAACAATGGATTTATAGTGCTCTGAATATGGACAAATAGCGTTAGCGTTGTAGCAGTGATAAAGAGACCCGTGGTTGTATTGATGAGGTTTTGTCGCAGCTTGTTAATGGCTAATTACATGACTGACTGATTAATGACCCCCCGCGGTTCAGGTTGTTCAATTAATGATTATTTTAAGAGCCTCCCAAGAATAAATCACATCGGGAAGTTTATTAGCACGTCGTGCTGACTGGAGCATTTTTCTTATTTGTTCTGTGGTTAGGGAGATAATGGAGCTAAGTTAACCAACACGGGCTAAAATCTAATGCCCTGTTTCCACCCAGGGGTTCGGTTCAGTATGGCACAGTAGACATATGCAGGCATTCCCATTGCTAAGTGCATATTAATTTTTTACAGTCGAACAAAGACATAGTCAGGAGCTAATAAAGCTAAGCGTCCACACAACGTCCACATTAAACATTAATGACTTTTTGTGAAGGAACAAAGACATGGCAGGTAGCTAAAGAATCTAAGCAAATGGCCAGGAGTTACAGAAGTTAAGCTAATAACCCCATGCATCAAAACCTGAATTCTAATTTCCACTCAGGGGTTTAGTTCAGGTCGGTTCGGCATGGTATGCATCTTTGGGTATTTTCACATTTTCATCAGAAAGGGTACACTCATGGTAAAAGTGCATGCATTAAGCAAGAAAGACACAGTCAAGAGCTAATGAAGCTAAGCTAGCAAACTTACGGACTACAAACTTTATACCTTGTGGCTCGGTTCCATTTGGTTTGGTATGCATTTTGGTGCCTTTTTCTTCCCGAAGGGTATACTAATATATATTAGTTGCATTTGTGAAGTGAGAAAGAAACTAGCACACACATACACACACACACACACACACACACACACACAATTTGATTTGCTCACCAATGAAGAGCTGGCTGTTGAGCTGCAGGTGAATATGTCCATCGGTGGGCGCCTGGCGGGTGGCGGCGGGCATGGTGTCCAATCTCAGTGATGCCTCTTTCACGTTGCGCTCTACGCGAACCCGATGCCAGCGCTCATCGTTCAGTGGGGAGCTTGAGTCCACACCAACCTCCAGAGGACCGTTGCCAACATCGAAGGAGAACAGAACGCGGGTGGGAGCTGGTTGGGAACAACGTGGAAACCATTTACTTTGTGAGTAAATCAGTATTTGGGTCTTCGATAAACATGCCATTTTTTGGGGTCACAGTTGTTTAGAGGCTAAAAAAACTGTGAAAGACCCATTGATTATTTCAATCATTGATTGTATCGGAAAATATCTACTTTCAGTTCATTTCTGCGTGGGTTTTCTCCGGTTGTGAAATTTATATATATATTTAGTCCCCCTCCACCCCCACCCAATTTTGCTGCTGTAGACTGCAAATTTCCCCAGTGTGGACAAATATATATATATTAGTCATCATTAACATCAATGGAACATTTTTCGATCTTTGATGCACGAAAGAGAACGTATTTTGTTCTTCAACAAACTTTTTTTTTGATGAGGACAATTTCTTCTTTATGGCACTTTATCGATGTGGTTTTGAAAACATTAACATTAACTCAGGTCTATTAAGAACCCAAAACGTCTGTGCCAAGGAAAGCTAATCTCTATCCGGTGTTTGTATCTCCTATTACTACGGATTCCCTCAGGGTTCAATCCTAGGGCTACTTCAATTTTGTTCCTAACACTCGACTCCATTTCTGCAAGCGTTGAGCTTGGTATCTGTGCACCAGCTCGTGCCTCCAGGGCTTAAGAAGAAGAAGAAGAAGCTATTCCGTATTGTGTGACCACTTTCATTTGCGCTGTTGATATAATTGCCTCAGGCACGTTATGGATCGCCGCATGCCGGAGTGTCGCCAGAGCCTATCGGTCTCCTGAAAGATTTAGCAGAGTGCTGGCCAAGCAGAACGCCGGCAGCGGGCAGAAGGAGGAGATGAAACAATATTCCGACTCCCTCTGTTTCTTGGGAGCCTGGCGACAGAGTTACCCCACAATGGGAGCAGAGCGGCAGTATTCCAAGCTGGAACCTGGTGATTTCCCCTGGGTCTCCCTGCATTAGCGGCTGTTTTCGTCCCCTCAACTCCCACGGCGACCATGGTGGCACCACAAATGAAAGTGCGCAGACTCGTCAAAGTTTCACGTCGTAAACAACCGTCTCATTCCCATGCAAACTAAATCACATCGAAATGACACACAGAAGCCCCGCTCACAAGGCTCATTAAAGCTGATTTTTCTCACGTCTCGACGTACTGTACATCATATAGGGGCCAAAAGCAGATTTGGAGGTTGACTTCATTTCCGCAAAATTAATTGTTAATATAGAAGTTCCTTGAGGTACGAGTTTCATTCGTTCCGTGACCACACTCGTACCTCTAAACATCTCTCCATCCATTTTGTGATCCGGTTATCATCACAAGGGTTGCAGGCATGCTGGAGTCTATCCCAGCTGTCTTCAGGCAGTAGGCGGGGTACACCCTGGACCGGTTGCCAGCCAATCGCAGGGCAGAATTACTTGCGCCCACAATCACGCCAAGGGACAATTTAGAGTGTTCCATTGACCTGCCATGCATTTTTTTGGAACGTGGGGGGAAACCGGAGGATCCGGAGAAAACCCACGCAGGCACAGAGAGAACATGCAAACTCCACACGGGAAGGCCGGAGCCGGAATGGAATCCGACACCTCTGCACTGTTAAGGTGGACGTGCGAACCAGTCGCCCACCATGCCGCACACTAGGGCGTGAACTCACACTGGAGCTCGATGCGTATGAAGTCCCTGATGCCCAGGTTCTCCAGGAAGACGCCGGAGGGAGCGCCGGTCTTGAAGAGGAAAGAGATGTCGGCGCTCAGCTCACCATGGAACGTCGGGAAGTGGAGGTAGGACGTCTCTGTGGCGAAGAAGGCAGCGTTCCAGAAATTCTCTGAGGGGAAACAATTATTCCAATCATGAATTAATGCATTTTTAATAATCTAAGGCTTAATTTATATGGTGTGATTCAAGTGATATAATTCAGATTATTTTTTTTTTTACCCTCAAGTAGCACAGTTGGGTGTTGAAGGTGCGGCTTATACTCCGAAGCCCCTTATAGTGCGGAAAACACTATAAGGGGATTTTTTCGTCAGACTCTTCTCTGACTTTTTCATTCTTCAACTCCTAACCCTAATTCTTCTCCAACACCACTTTTCCAAACACTTCATTTCCGACTCTTGATTATGGATGCTTCTTAACTGGAATCCTCTTTCCGGACTCTACTTTTCAGATTCCATTTGTGACTCTGCTTTTCCTAATATTCGGTTCTGACTCTTTCTGGATTCTTCGCAGTTTTGTTTTCCAACCCTTCTTATCAGACGCCTTTCCCAAATCATCTTTTCTGGCTCTTCTCTCAAGACACATTAAATTAGATAGATTAGTGGTGTATAGATATTAAATGTGGTCTAAATTTGTACTTAAAAGGTAAATAGACTGCAAACACGAAAATTGGCATTTCATAAGAATTTGACCTTTGGACTTGCAGTATAAATTCATCCTAAAATGATGTATTCATATGCATGCTCTCTATATGTGAGACTCAAACCTGAGGACTTTTCGTCACAGTCCGACTCCTTAAACATTTATCCACAGTCACCTCCCATGTACCCTCACTTAACTAATGTATGAATGTTTCTGCGCGGTTTTCCGCTGTATGCATGACTAATTCATTTCCATAGGCGACTGGACTTACTGTCGCCATGGCAACGCAGCGGCCCCACCCGGTAGGTGGCCTCTGAGCCGGGGCGCCACACGTCACCCAGTACCAGGGACCGCACAGGGAGGCTCTCCTTGTGGACCAGCAAGCCTGAGTCCTCAGCCCTAAAAATATATACCGTACAGTATACAGTATTATTATTACATTTACCGTTTTATTATTCATACTTATCATGCCATGCATGTCTGTGCTGAATTCAATCCAGGACACAAAAAGGTAGCACCTTGAATAAAATACTGAAATGTTTTGCCACTACAAATTGACGGTTGAGCTGAGAACTGACAGGAAAATGTAAAGCACAAGCATGAACGGTGTGAATAAAACATAAGAGGTTGAAAGAGCAAATGCATCGAACGCACTATGTACAGCCTCATCATAAAACATGTATGTTTCGGTTCGTGGAAGACTGTCGAATGTCTTCCATTGTTATGAGAAAAATCCTGAAAAAGGAAATATTGGCCAAAACACATGAAGCAGCCTTTGTTAGGTTCTTGAATTATGTCAGTTCACCCTTTCATGCACCAATAATGATCACCTGTCACCTGACCACATGATAAACTGCCCACTGTTGTAACTGCTGTCCCTGAAAGTTGCCGAAAGTGTTCAAGGTTTGCATTTATGGTTATGTTCTGTACGCTTCTCATGTAGCACATTTACGCCATATTTAATGTCCAACAGTTAATGATCTATACAATTCTATTAGATTCTTTGGCTATATATTTCTCATGGAGCAAATCGTCACTGTAGGGTGGAAATCATGGATGTCCATATATGGTCAATTTCATACTTTTACACAAATCGACACCATTGGTCTCTCCCTAGGTCGGCTGTTATTTTCATGCATTATTAACCAATTGGAAGTGTTGGGCATCACTTGACGTGAGAACGAATCTATTAACGCTCTTGGACACTAGGGCTGTCTGAGAAGTGTTGCAAAATTGTCTCTTTACTCTCACTCTGCAAATTTTGTATCATTTTGCTGCCTTGAGATGGAAAGTGATTTTTTTTTTTTTTAAATGAGTAAAAACAGATTAGAGACATTTAAGTAAGCCCGGTTAATTAAAAGTGGATGGCTGTAACGCTTCCATGAGAAGGAACTGGTCAGCCACGAAGGTAAGTGAGAGCAGATTCACTATCACCTGTTACATTACTTCGTCAGTTCAGCAATTTATTTATTGCATCACTCATGGCTCTAAAGAATTTGATTTTGATTTTTAACATCACAAGAAATGTACAGTATATACACCTCAAACACACAATACATTTGGAGAGTGCAGAAGAATTGTTTTTCTTGTTGATGCTGATGTATGTCGGAATAACTTCAAATGTTGGTAAAATGAAAGAATTTAATTCTGGAGTGCATCAGCACATTTGGTCAAATGAAGTTTTGTGTAGATTGAAGCTTTGTTGAAAGATTATTTTTTGGGGGTCCTGAACTGCATGGCACACTGTATCCCAGAGGAGGAGCGGATATGTTGTTTGTGTCACTTCAATGATAATGAAAATGAACTGCATTGTTATTTTTGGTTTGTATTTATGGTCCTTTGTATCGTGATTTCAGCAGGCAATAATTATGTCAATTGCCTCGTGAGGCTGTAGATTTGTTTGCAGTGTCAGATGATGAAAGACTCAACTATTTGTTCAAGTATCAGCCATTTGATTTGCTTCAGTTTGTGGCTGCATAGCAAGAGGACACTCTTTGTTTGATATATTTCTGGATGTCTTCCTACTGTTCACTTTTGTGTCTAATAAGCCCGCATGGGCTGGGCACCTATAATGATGCATGACACCAAATAAGTACTAAACTCAACTCACCTCAACTCAGCTACCATATTTGCATCATATTTAACCCTTTCAGGGACAGCGGTGGACAGCTTATAATATTATCAGGTTACAGGGTTCATGAAAGGGTTAATGGAGACCATATCCAGCCGTCTATGTTTTGACAGATCTGATTTTTATCCACACATGGATGAGGCCCAATTCAATCTGAAGATAATCGATTCCGTATCTTATGTTCAAAAAGTGTTCATTTATGCACACCCATTTTTTTTGGTGTGTTGATTATTTGTGTGTAGTTACCATTCTGCGCTGTCAGCGTCACAGTTGCAGTAACGTTTGGGGTCCAAACAGTCTCCCTGCAGCCCGCATGCGCACTGTTGGCTTCCTGGCTGAGCTCCGGCCCAATAATTCTGACGTCCACCCGGAGCGACACCACCAATCCACCAGCTCAAGGGTGAGCCTTCTGGAAAAACATGAACATGTTGGACAATGTCTTCTTTTATGAGTCTTTATTGACTCTTTACAGCTCTATTGATGGACGACTGCTTTCTGACTCTGGATTTTTGACGTCTCACAGATTCCACACATATTTTTTACGACTCCCGCCAGACTACTTTTCTGATTCATCTTTTCGGAACACGTACAGTATTGTTCCAATTTTTGTATGTCACATCTTTTCGGACTCATTTTTTTTTTTCCTCGCTCTTCTTCTCAGATTGTGACCTATAAACAAAGCGTGGCCTCACCTGGAGTGTTGAGGAGGCGGGACTTCCTGCAGTGGTAGGCCATTTCCTGTTGGCAGTGGTCGGACTGGCCAATTACGGCCAACAGCTGCTCCTCGCTGGCAGGGTAGTGCAGTGGCACAAGGTGCTGACGTTCACCGCTAGATGGCCTCACTGGGGTCAGTTCGGTGGTGTTATGGTGGATCTCCATCCATGTGTTCTCCTCTGCTAGACAAAATGGAAGGTAAGAAAAACGACCACATAGATGTGAAATACACAAACTATGCGTGTGTCACCTGTCATGTTACAGTAAACCAACTGCGGTTTGATGGGACCGCTGCCGTCCACGTCGATGTAGAAATATCCCGATGTGTTGCCATTGTGCTTGTACGCCTCGCAGGATTGTTCGTACACCGCTAGGAGAGAAACAAGTAGAAAAGTTTGCAAAGGATGCTGAGAGAAGTGTCCCGCAACAATCAAAAAACAAGTATTGGAAGAAAATCTTCCACCGTGATGAGGGAGATGGAGTTGCTGACAGCAGTACGACACTTTCGTCCATGCAAAAGTAACAATATACAGTCAAACCTCGGTTTTCGAACGTCTCCGTTCTCGACCAATTCGGTTTTCGACCAAAAATTTCGAGTTTTTTATGCGTCGGATGACGAACAAATTTCGGTTCTCGAACAAACTGAGCGCACTTGAATGCACCATTTGACTCCTCTCGCCTTACTTACACGAGGAAGTGACGCTTCCTCGTGTCGCTTTCCATTGTGAGCAGACGTGTTCAAGAAAACATTTTTTTAAAAAAAGAGCATGGTTTCGGTTTTCAACAATTTCGGTTTTCGAACAGCCTTCTGGAACGGATTAAGGACGAAAACCGAGGTTTGACTGTATATATTTTTTAGGAGACTGGCCCTGCAGTGACTCACAGCTGTGGCAGGTGGCGCCGCCATAGCCGCTGTCGCTGCAGTTGCAGTGGAAGTGCGTCCAGGATTGAGTGCAAGGCCCGCCGTGCTCGCAGCGACTCGGAGAACACCTGAAAAGATCAAAATAGATAAATCATTTATAATTTTTTCTTTTGTGGAAAAATTTAGAAAGCTAGGACGCACAAAAGGAAATATAAAATGCGCACACACACACACACACGTATAGATAGATGTTTATTTTAAGAAACCATATGTGCAAATATGTAGCCTTGCTGCTCACCTTCTAAATCAAATTTGAATTTTACTTTTGTTTCATTCGATCTGGATGGAAACTTGTGTGACGTTTTGTTCCTGACTACCTACAGTTGAAACACTGGAGGGTAGGTGTAATAACAAGCTCCCGTGGAGTATGACTACCACGCTGACCCTCTGTTGAAAAGCAACATTTTCCATCTGACTTGCGTTCAATTCAATCAGCATGATCGCCAAGCGTACGGCGGCCATGCGCTAACCGCTAACCAAACGATGGATGCAAAATGAAGGAGTCGTGACCTAGGCAAGGACGCCTGCTCGCTTCGTTAAGCATCGGCTCGTGTTATTAGAGCCGCATGTTTTTTTTTTTTCCCCCCCGACCGACAGGTTTGATAATTGTTGTGAACGTTGCGTTAATGAAGCAACGATTCGGCAGTCAGACCAAACTGCAGGATTAGTTCTGCGTCGGTGGCATCACTTCGTGTGACGTTAGCGCTCCGACCTGAGAGTCTGAAGCTGGATTAACGGCATATGTTTCAAGCAACACATTTAAGATTTATTTTTAATTAGTCCAAGGGGCTACTCTGATTTTGCCCTCTGAACATTGAAGTCAGACAGCTAATGCCCGAGCATATCACAAACTGAATTCCATGTTAGAAACTGACCTGTCAATGATACCGCACATGTCAATCAAGAGGTTGCTGTAGGTACCCAGCATCCTTTGCTGCACCATGATGAGGTCCACTTGTTGCCGGCCCAGGGTCAGCTGACGAAGACAACCCTGGAAGGAGGCAAAAGCGTTCCTGCAGTCCTCCTGCCTCTCGTCCTCCGCAGGGCAACCTTCAACAACAAGACATTCAAAGCGCGACCGGGTATAAGGTACGATCACGTCGTACATTTGCCTACCACCGACGAAGAGGTCCTTCTCGATGGCGACGGTAAAGGAAGGACTGGAGTGAGCCATGTCGTCTTTGTCCACGCTGATGCTCAGGTGCCCTCCTCTGGACTTCAGGTCCACCGAATGCCACTGACCATCATCCAGATCGGAACCTAACAACCAGTCCATGCGGAATCCCAATTAAGTACTGTATGCTTTTGTTTTTACTTTATCATCAAGACTCCGAATTTCACCCAAATAAACTCTAACCTAATCTTATCCTAAATTTAACCCTAACCAAAACCAGGGGCGTCCCTCTGGGTTGAAAAATGAGAAGACCAAGCATATTGAGGGCCCCCGTGATGACTCCCCTACTCCTCCCTTGTTGACTTTTTTCTCCCACTATATTAAATACTGTCACTTGATGTCATTCCCTGTATTTTTCATTTGTGACATTGGGAAAATATCGCTCATCGATTCCGAACTGTGAGTTCTATTGCTAACTATTGTGCCGTGACCTGAACCCGAACCTAAGAAGTTAGTTTGCGAAATGTGGGAGGTGTCCAAAATACCCGGAGAAAACCCATGCAAATATGGGGGTGCAACATGCAATCGCCACACAGCCCAGCTGAAACCCAGATCCTCAAAACTGCAAGGCGGGCGTTTCCACCTCTCACCCAGCCATGCCGCCCTGTACTGTACTTCTTGCTCTGTACTGACCTGCCTGGAGGTCCAGCAGTACTCTGTCAGCTTTCTGTATGCGCAGACAGAGCCGAGCATCACTCAGGAACACCCAGACAACGCCGCCCTGCCGAGGGAGCCGGAAGGTGAACAGGAGTCCATCTCTGTTCCACGTCCTGAAATTGAGTCCTACGGACACTCCCGCTGTGGGCACCAAGGTCAGTGCCCCGGCCCCGGGCAACTGGAGGAAGCTTCGGGGCCCAGGGAAGGTGGCAGCCACGGCCAGCGTCTGGTGGGAGCACGTGAAGGTGACATTGCCCTGGGGGACATAAAATAATCAGAACAGCAAAAGCATGAATATTAATCCACTGAGGGGGCGGGGTGGGTGTAGGGGCGTGTCCGTGCGACTTCAGGTCACCGTCGTCCTCATCAGCGAGTCTCCTTAAATGCGACATTAGGAACATTAGCATAACCATGAGGAGCCAATAGCATTAGCAAAGCAAAACGGGGGAGAAACAAAGTCAAATGAAAGACAGATTGGTGGGATGCAATTGCAGCATCATGACAACACTTTCCAGATTCATATTTCACTGAGACATCACAAAGTTGTTGCTTTTTATTGTCTTTTTTTTTCCCGTCTGTCCCCTCTCAGAGACTTGCTGTCTTTGGTACTTCTTTTTGTGGTCTATCCTCTGCCTCTGGGACCGCAAACAAAGTAAGTTAACTCGGCTTTTAGAAGTCATGTTATTGCGATTGGTTTCTTTTGTCGTTGTATTTCATTGTCACCTCAAACTGCCTACAGTCGCACAGATGACATGTCGAGAATGTTTATGGTGCAGATTGGGTGAATTCAGGTTCATGAGCGGCTTGGAAAGTCACCTCGACGGAAAAAAAGGGGGGAAAAAAACACGTCGCTGCAAAGTCACCAACACACACACACACACACACACACACACACACACACACACACACACACACACACACATAAACAGATTGCCTTTGTCCTTTCAAGAGATCATCACTTGAAGCGCCTCCATTGGAGCATTAACCAAGCATACGAATAGCTCCACTTTCTTCCTTCCAGTTTTCATCATTTTTTTGTGTGAACTTCTTTGGTCGAAATGCTCCCCGGTGAATGTGAATTTTAAAATGCACGGGAGGTCCACATGGCCAATATGGAGGCGTTATACTGAGAGACTGCTTTTCCTTCACGCCTCATTTGTCATAAAAAGCCAATAGGGGACAAACAATTTATATATCAATGCAGTCAGACGGCAAGATGCCATTTGTTGAACACTGAGATGGTGAGAAAAAAAAAATATTCAAAATGCAAACATTTCATGACACTATGAATAGTCTTTAGATTAGAATTAGCATTACGGATTTTGGCTTTCGAATAGTCTTCATCACTAAGTACCTAGCTAAAATCTAACTACCCCCAAACTAGCATAAGTGAAAAAATACATTTTTAGTATATAGATAAACAAATAAACAAACAGCTAGCTGCTGTGAAAGATCTTTATGAGGGACGAAAAAGTTTTTGTTGTTGTTTTTTTTTTCTTTTAAAGCTTTGAAGAGGGAAACCAGTTCTTAAGAGCAGTGGTGAATTAGCATGATTGGGCAGTGCACTACCATGACCTCCATCGACACAACAAAGGCAAAACAATCTAACTAAGATTAGACGTACTAGTTTTTACGGAACTCCATCGTTTATTCAAATGTTGTCGGCTAAATGTGAAGCCAATTAGCACAAACGTGAAGGTCATCACTGTCCGTCCGTTGGACGTTTGACCTTATTAGGAAAGCCGTCAAGGACTGACCGTCACGGTAGCTCGGCGGTCGCCTCGTCTGACCATCGCGATCAGGTTATGCTGGTTGTACACCAAATTCTCAAGGCAGCCTTGGAATCTCTCCTCAGGGATGTTGGGAATTCCCCCCACGCTCAGCTGGAAGACCCCAGGATGGAAAACGTGAAGCACAACGGACAGACAAAGGTAGCAACTCATTTTTGGAAGACCTGCTGGATGCGCCAGTGATGGAAATGCGGCGGTAGGTTGACGGTCTCCGTGTGCTGATCCACGGTAAGGTTGCACTGGGCGGCGTGACATTCCATGGCCAGCACGTGCCACTGTTGGTCGTCCAAGAGACTGCCTAACGAGACCAGACGTCGATGATCGGGCCTGGAAGTCCACGCTAGGAGCCAAAAAAGACAGATGGTGTCAAGGTGATTTTACATTAGGACCAGTGCCTCACCAGATTTGACCCCCCCCCCCCAAAAAATGGAGTATGATGCTCAAAAATCATACACAGTCCATTCCAGAGGCTGTTCAAGCTTTATATCATTTGGAATTCATTGTCATTTTAGAGCAAATATTGTTTCAAGTAAGTGGGGCAAACATTTGACAGAATGGCAGTGACCCACCAAGTTCTAAAAAAAAAAAGTGTGACCCTCAGAAATCATGCACAGTCCATTTCGGAGGGTGTTCCACCTTCAATTTGTTTGGAATTTAATGTCCTTTATGTACAGGAACTTTTTCAAGTAAGTGGGGAGAAAACCAAAACTTCTATCAACATTTTTTTTGTCTTGTTAACAAAAAAGTATTATATTATGTAAATAACCTAGATTGTAAAACACCAATTTTCTACGATTCAGATTTTTATCCAAAATTTGGACCTTATATTGTTTTATATTTAATACAGACCAGTGCAAAATGTACATATTGGTTGGGTAGTTGCATGCTGTCCTTGTTCCTTCTCTCTCTTATGTGAGGCAGGAGAGCCGGGAGCAAATTTCTTTGTCGCCCGTTAGGCACAAATTATTGTACTCCGCCAAATGCCAATACTGCCTAGCAACAAGAGTTTGACATGGTTTGAGAAGAATAGGAGCTTTGCCCTGCGTCGCTTTGTGTTAGCTTTGGAATAGTGTCTGCCCCCATGAAGAAATACTGTATGTCGATTATTTGTGTTCTCTGAGGTTAAAGTGCTAAAAAAAAGACAAAATGCAAATACCGCTTTTTGACAAGACATCAAAAAAGTTGCGAGAGAAGTTTTGTGCATTCTGAAGACAATGTTGTCTCCCAGCAGGAGGTTCAAAGCAGGGTTGCCTTATCTCATCTTCATCATCATCACAACAAGAAAAATGTTGAGATGCAAAGCCAAATATTCCGTCGTTCATGCCAAACGTGAGACGTTATAAATCTTAGATGAGCGTCGGCGGCTCCAAATTAGCGAGGCCAGGTTCCCCGTGGTCCAGCTCTGCGGGGAGAGCGATGGAAGGAAAAGCTCCCGAAAAAAAAACTCCACGCAGTCGTTAAAAATCTATCCGGAGGTGTCAGGGGAGCCTGAGGAGGAAGATGATGGACAAAAACATCTTCATCCTAAAATGAGGAGGCGGGAGTTTGTCTTCTTGTCAACAACTTATTTACAATTCGGGGAATAAATATCTTACTTTGTTACTGAAGCGAGATAACAAGACTCGTTTTTGAGTGACACCAATTCCATGAAATGAGAAAATAAATATTACAAACATGCGGTCCTGTGGTTTGATAAAATTGTTGTGTTGGAATTCAATAGATTCCACCATATAGTAGTAGTAGTAGAAATATCTTTGTAGAAGTAAAAGAATAAAATAAAAATAGCTTTGGGATTGCTCCAAATACCGAATGTACTACTTACAGGTATACTACTCTTCATACCACTAATACTTAATCCAACCGATAAACCCATAACACTAGCATTTGTGGTATTATTAGTAGTATTGTAGTGGTAGCAGTCGTGGTGCTCGTACAAGTATTAGCAATAGCAGTAGTAGTAGCGTTAGCAGTAGTGTAGTTGTGTATTTCCTACTACCATTAGGAGGGCTATTTATTGTTGCTGGATTATTAATAGTAGTAGTCGTAGCAGTAGTGGTAGTATAGTAAAAATACCATTAATAGGATTGTAGTAATAATAGACGGAGGAGGGGGAGGAGGAGTTTTAATAGTACTAGCAGCGATATTAGTAGTGTGAGTGTCGTGGTATTTATATGATTAGTAGTATTAATATCAGTAGTAGCTTTAGTAGTGGACGTATAGTAGTATTAGATTAGAAGTATTGGTGGGAATAGTTGGAGTAAGATTAGTAGTATTTGGATAGAAGAGTTGGTGGTAGCAGTACCAGAAGTGGGAGTAGTAGTAGTAATAATAGCACCTGTAGTATAATAGCTGCAGAAGTGTAAGTAAGTGTAACCTGTAATATGATTAATAGTAGTAGTAGTAGTTAGTAGGAGCAGCATTAAAAATAGTAGTAATAGTAGTCGTATTAGCATGAGTGGTAGAAGTATAGGACAGTAGTTCATTATTAGTACTAGTAGCATTAGTTATAGTGGCAGAAGTAGTAAATGTAGTACTGGGAATATTAGTAGAATTTGGAGTAGGAGAAGTAGAATTAGTAGTTGTAGAAGTAGCCATAGAAGTCGTATTGCGTTAGTAGAAGTGGAATTAGTAGTAGTAATAGTGGTAGTAGCTGTTGCAGATGAGTTGTTGTTGTTGTTGTGATTAGTAGTGTGGTATTGTTATGGTGTCTATGAAGTTGAAGTTGAGGACATATTTCCAAGTCTTGTCTATTTGTATTGAAATGCAAATATGTTCTTACTTTTTGCGATAGAGATTTAAAAAAAAAAAAAAAAAAAAAGACAAGACACATGAAGACAGTGTTTATTCCAAAAATCCAAACCGAAGCAAAACGATCATGTGAAAAAAAAAAAGGACAAGAGTGCAAAAAACATGAAAGAGAAAGCAGAAGTAGATAAGCCGAGCAAATGTGACGTTTCATCCAGAAGCAGACAAAAAGAAGATGATTGCCTGTGAGTGAATATTCCACACGAGGAGTGAATATGAAAAAGCCTTCTCAAGTTTCACTTGAGCGCGCCAAGCTAATGACAAAAATATGAAATATGAAAGCGGCGCACACACACAAGTGAGTAAAAGGATCTCCTATCGCCATCTTATGACTTTCACCAATTCCAACACAACAGACGCAGGATACGAACTGTGTCGGTTTTGCTGGAGAGCGGGTTGTTACCGTCTTGTTGTTGTTGTCCCGTGACTGCCATGAGGACTCTTCCCCCATTGAGCTCCACGCTGAGTCCGAGTGCCGAGGCCCCTCGGGCGTGCAGTAGCGTCCCGCAGTTCTTCAGACTCTTGAACTTGAGCGACAGCTCCTGCTCGTCGTCCTCCTTGTCGTGGCTCCACCAGTACGTCACCGCGCTGCCCTCGCCGTCCAACGACATCACATCGGAGGCTGACCGGTGCGAGGCAGGATACAGATGGTGAAAGAAGAAGGAAATTTTTTATTTTCAAAGAGCACGCACATCGATTTGATCAACCGAAAAAGAAAAACAGCGACAAGAAACCCAAGCTTGGAACTCAAAACCTGATTTGGAACCTTCATTTGAACCCTAATCCGCTCTTGACACTCTAAATTTTCAAACTCTAGTCCTGGTTTGAAATCCTAATTTGAAATCATAGTCCAAGCTTGAAACCCTAATTAACAACCCCAAACCTCTCTTGAAACCTTACTTTGAACCCCTAACTGTTGTTTAAAACTCCCATTTGAAACCCTAACCTTTGCTTGAAATTTTAACCCAGGGCGGAAACTCTCAAATTTATATCCTACCTGTGGTTCAAACCCTAATTTGAAACCCTACCACGAATTAGAAATTCAAATGTTGGTTTGAAACCCCAATTTGAAGCCCTAACCGGTGAGTGAATCCCTAACCCTGGCCTGAAACTCTGACTCAAAACCTTAAAACCTGATCCTGTTCTTAAACTTTAGCCCTGGCTTGAAGCAATAATTTCAAACCCCAATCCTGTCTTGAAACCATACTTTGAAACCTTAGCCCTGGATTGAGACCCTAACTTAAAACCCTAATAGTGTCTTTAAAACCCTGCTTTGAAATCTCAGCCATGACTTGAAACTCTGACCCAGTCTTGAAACCCTACTTTGAAACCTTAGCCCTGGCTTGAAACCCTGATCCTGTTTTGAAACCCTTCTTTGAAATCCTAGCCCTGGCTTGAAGACCGAAGTACAAATCTCGAACCTTTATTTGAAATCAGAACCCGATTTCAAAACCCTAATTTGAAACCCCAACCTCCGTTTGAAACCCTAACAATGGCTTAAAGCCCCAGTTTGAAACCCTCATATGAAATACTTCCCCTTTATTGAAACCCTGAATGTGTCTCCAACCATAATTTGATACCTTAACCTTTTCTCAAACCCTTTTTATTTGTAACCCTAATTTAAATTGCCAACTGCGACTTGAAGCTGAATTTCACCCACGTTTAAAACACAAAGTTTGTCTAATGTGTTTGCATTACAGCTCGCCTTCAATAAACTATGTCGACGTTCGAAATGCGCAGTTGGTGATGTTTCTCGGTAAGAGAGCGAGCAAGGTGAGAATGAAAGCCCGAATGTGCGTCTGTCGCTGTTAAAGCGCCAGGATAAACAAAACACCATTCAAAGGGGAAAAAGACGAGGTGCGATGGGATGTTTTTTTTATCTTCCCGCATGAAAGCCTGATGGGTTGGCGGAGGCGGGCGACTCACTGTAAGGGCAACCGTAGACCTCCAGCCGCAGTCCGATGCGTCCGCCGGGGTTCCAACCCATGGGAAGCAGGCGCAGGAAGCGAGCGACGGCCGTTTGCTGCAGCTTGTGCTGCACCACGCTGTCCGCGTTGATGTTGCCTGAAAAAGACTGAGGACCACCAAAGACGAACAGCGTCAGGAGCTCGGTAATGTTCACTACGCATTTTCAACGAATGCATCAAGAAGCGCTTGGCCTTGAGTCTCTTTTCAGGTGTCACTTTTTATGTTATGTCGTGAAGGTGTCCCGATACTTTTGCCCACATGAGCTTTACTTCCCGTGTGCGTCTCCAATACTTCTGTTCACATTTTCCTGACCTTTTCTTCATCTACGTGTCCCACAATTTTTTTTTCACCTTCTGTAGGGCATCCCGAAACATTTGTCCATTTCCTTTCATTTGGTGTCCCGATGCTTTTCCGCACATGTTCTCACTGTATATTGGACGACAAAACAACCGAGCCCCCAATCTCGTGACCCCCGGCGTAATAGCTGGGCCGCCTTCTTTTTATCAACGCCATCTGGTCGAGCTGTCTTGCTGCATTTTGATTCACCGTGCTGCGCTCCGCTCGGGCATGTTAGTGGGCAGCTAAATTGCGCAGAGTGGCTCAGAAATGGCAACAAGTTTTCCACGTCAGCAGCAGTTCATCCTCTGCTCTGCATGCATTATTCACCAGGAGTCAAAATGCTCGTGAGAAATGCGATGATCTCGGCAAGACGGGCTGATGTAATTGCCGCTGGGTTTTATAGCCTCAAGTATGACTACGATTGATTACCTCAAGTACATTTTTTGTCTCAATGTGTTTAGTATAATTAACTACATTTTGATCCGGCTAGTTTTGTTAGCTCCGTTGGCTAAGTTCACTCACATCAATATTGGAAGTCACGTGTTGGCTAATGAGCCAAAAGCATTGTTTTACAGGTGACGCAGTTTTTTTTTTGCATTTGTTAACAGTTTTCGTCTTGGTGGAGTTTGAGTGTTTTTTTGTTTTTTTTAACCGTTTCAGGGATAGCGGTTACGACAGTGGACACCTTATCAGGTTGTCGGGTTACAGGTCATTATTATTTGTGCATGAAGGGGTTAAGTATGTGCGTATGCAAACAGAATTGTGTGACAAAAAATATATACTGAAGCATTTTTTGAGGAACCAGGTGGAGATCAAAACTGACGGAATTTTGCTGCGAGAAGTTGGGGGTCATGAATAATTTTCAGAGTTGGGCCTTGGCAGAGGTCTGCGCTCTGCTGAGTGGCATCAAAGCAAAAATTACTCAGGCTGTGGGAATAAAGAAATAAGGACATTTGGTTTGAGAAGTTGGGGTACAGGTGAACCTCTGGGACTTTTTACTTTGGCCCTTTCAGGGACAGCGGTTTCTACAGTGAACAGTTTATCATGTTATCGGGTTACAGTGTGCATGAAAGGGTTGATATACAGGTGTGTTTTCTGTACAACGATGCCATTTTCCAAAAATTGCCGAGAAATGCACTCAACTGAGTCACAAACTCTCAAAAACGTGTGAGATTACAGAAAGGAAGGGAAAAAAATGGTGTGTGAAGTTGGGCTCTAGATTTTTTATTTTCACATTTGTACCGAGCGGAGGTGAAACTCGTTTTATATGCATGTGCCTATACTTTGTGCGGGGGGGAGAAAAAAGTTTGAGAAGTTGGGCTCCAGAATTTGTCCACATACCCCGATGCTGTCCTCCAGCCGGTGTTGCTTCCAGTTGTGACCGGTGTCGCTGAACATGAGCAGATAGGACGTCAGCCAATCGGAGCTGCCGTAGCGTCCCTGCGTGGACACCGCCGTGATGGTGGTCCGCTCCCCGAGGTCCACTTCCAACCACTGAGAGGATTTGGAGGCCAGCGGAGACCAACCCCCTGCTCCTGAAAACAAATTCATACATCGTGTTAAAAAGTTGGGATGGAGGAATGTTGCTTACAGTTGTTGAACAGCTTGGCCTTGGCGGAGGTCTGTTGCATTCTTCATTTACATGTGTGGGCAGCAGGAAAAAAAAAAAAACCACTAAACTGACTTTTGAGAAAGCAATCTTGGTGTCAGAAGTTGGGGTTAAGGATTCTTTCCCCCAAAAATAATAATTTTTGCCAACAGTCTGGCTTTGGCACGGGTTTGCGCTTGACCGAGCCGCCCATTTGCTTGCGAAAATTTGGATGTGACAAATTGGGATCCAGGAATTTGGGGTTTTTTTTTTTTTTTTTTGCTTCCAGTTCATCCTTGGTCAACTGCTGTGTGAGAAATATTTTGGAGAGAATGAAGAATTCAGGTGTGAGAATATGGGCTCCGGGATCCCTCTCCAATTTATGAACTACTTGAACGAATGTCACTTCTTTCCACTTGTTAACCGAGCTCTTGTTGGTTAATTAAGCTGATTTTGAGCGGGTGGATGAATGATTACGAGGCGCAGGGTGAAGGTGGCAGGTGCGAAAGCCCGCTCTCCATTAATTAAGCCTGGGAAAACGTAAACGTTGATGTGTGAACTTTGAAGGCGCGAAAAGGCCAAAGGCTAATCAGCTCCGGAGGACGAGACAGCGAGCGGGCGCTTGACCTTGTCCGTAAAACGCAGAGATGAAAGGAAAATGAGGAAAAGGAAATGGACATACGATGAGGGATACCTTGGAAAATGTTTGCGCTGCCTGTTCATTTCAGGTCCAAAAATATTCAGCCTCATTGTATCATGTTCAGCTACACCAGAGACATTTAGAGATGTATTATTGGATTCATTATTGTTTTTGAGTTGGATACAGTTCAGGTTTTTTTTTTTTGTACTTTTATGTTTTATACGAGTGTATTATTTGTTGCTTTTGATCTCTTCTGTGTCCCTGTGTGGCCTCGAAAAACTTTTTTTTTTCATAATTTAATTTATTTTTAATATTTAAGACTTTTCTTTCATTCCATCTAAATATTACCATTTCATTATCATTACCTTTCATCAGAAGTATTATTTATTTTGTTGTATATATCTTAATTTCACTGTATTTATCATTTCACATACTTTATCTTGTGTGTTCATCAATCCATTATGTGAACCGCTTTATCTTCACTTGGGTCGTGGATGCGCTGGAGCCTATCCCAGCTGTCATCGGGGTAGTAGGCGGGGGGCACCCTGAACCGGTTGCCAGCCAATCGCAGGGCACACAGAAACGAACAACCATCCGCGCTCACAATCACACCTAGGGACAATTTAGAGTGTGCCATTAATTTGCCACGCATGGCAATGCGGGAGGAAACCGGAATACCCAGAGAAAACCCACTCAGGCATGGGGGAGAACATTCAAACTCTACACAGGAAAGCCCGAGCCGGAATCGAACCCTGCACCTCGGCGTCTGTGAGGCGGACATACTAACCAGTCGTGCCGCCTATTTTCAACATGATTTCCTGATTTATTTATTTATTTATTTTTACCAATGCAGTGTTTGTATTTGAATTTCCTTTTGGTGAATTAAAATGAATTTAATTTGAAATGGTGTTGACTTTGAAACATAACGGGCTTTTCCACAGGGGTATTATAGTTAGTTATATTTAAATAGAACTATTTTGATTGCTGTATTGTCACGGTTTTTAATTTCATCTGATTGTAATTATCATAATTTGATGTAAATGTTTTGATGAATGTAATTGTGTTTTTTTGGATTCAAAGCAACTGTAAATATTTTAATCAGATTTAAAATAACGGGAATTATCTTAAATTGAATGTGAATGTATTTCTTTTTATTTTAATTGAAAGCAATGTCGTGAGAATTCAACGGAACACGTTTAGTGTTCATTTTATTTATTTGTTTAACTTCATACAATATGATTTTGTTATCCAAATCTAATTTAAATGCGTTCCATTTAATCACACGCCATGTAATTGTATATATTCCAATTTCATTTAATGTCATTGTGTTGATTGTATGAATAATTTATTATAATGTGATGTAAGATATTTAATGTAATTCAATTTAGGGACATTTTAAACCAATTTGGAATGTCCTTCCTTTCGCTTGAACATGTTCTTCTATTGTCGTTTGTCAGGTTTCTCTTGAGTTCCAAACCAATCCAAGTGGACAAATCCTGGTGGAACAAATGGCGTCTCACCTTTTGACCCGTTTGCTCTTTGCCAAGCGTGAATTCCGAGTGTATTCCTCTGTCACTTGTCTCCCGTCGTCAGCTGACACCCGACACCTCTCAATTTGTCTGCCTCGGCCTAGCGAGCAAAGCCGCCGGAGCGAGGAAGAAGGAGCCCGGCCTGGATGGCGACTGCCAAGACGACGCAGCCGACCGACCAATACGATGACGTTAGCATGTACGAGACATTTAATAATGCAAAGACATTCTAGCTGCCATCGCAAAAGATAATCAGGAGAGTGAAAGGAAAACCTGAGTGGTCGCCGAGTCTCATTTGGACTCGCAATCAAGTCACATGCTCACACAACTACGGCCTACTTACTCACTCACTTAGAAACTAATGTTTTTCAAGTGGATTAACCACTTCAAGTAGTTGCCTCCTTAACCCTTTCAGGGACATCGGTTACTAAAGTGGACAGCTTATCAGCTTTCAGTGCGCAAAACGGTTCATTTAATTTTACTTCCGTCAACAATGGACTTACTTTCACTACTTCAATGAGCAACTTGCTTAATTTAGTTCCTTTCAATCCCACATGTATTACAACTACAAGTAATTTACTTCAACTAGCAACTGACTTCAATTAATTACTCTTTTTAACATGAGAATTTTGAAGGAAGTAGCTATTTACTTTACTGGCAAAGTAGTTATCACTGCTCCTGTAGTTTGTTACTGTACTTAGTTGCTATGGTTGGATAATTACTGAAGTTAATAACATTGGTTTGCCATTGCAGTTAGTATGTTATTGTGGTTAGTATGGGAGTTTATAGTTTGTTACTGTATACGTTAGTTACTGCAGTAATTTAGTTTGTTCAAGCAAGTGTGTGAAAATGTGTTGACTTTTCAGTGTTCATTATTTCAAAAACACACTAACACACTATTACTATCAATAATATGCAGAAAAAAAAGTATGTTTTGTCACACCAATTTAATTTTTAATGTCATTGTGGGTGAAGTAACGCAAATGTTACATGGGGCAGTTATGTTTATCCGCCATCTTTCTGCTACGGGCAGCCGAAGGTGACAAACTTAGCGACAGCATGTTTAGCAAATGCTGTTTCAGTAATCCTAGGATTGTTTGAGATGACATTGCGCCTCTTGGTTAAATTCTTGTGCAATTTGGTCTCAAAATGAACAAAAAACGCTGTGTCTGTGTGTTTTCATATCCTTCATATTCTGTGACGTTCCGGCTGTTGCTCATCTTGGCGTGCGTGTTGGCTTATGCGCACGTGTGCATAATTGGGGGTTTGCGCGTTTGTATGCTTGCACTTGCGCGATCGGGAAGTTCACAGGAGGTTGGTCACTTCAAAAGTCGATCTTCGGTCAAAAAAGTTTTCCCAATGTGGCAAGCTGACCCAAGTAGTAAGAAACCGCTGCGGCTCGCTGCCAGACAGTGCCCTGCTTCGAGGGGCACTAGCCAGATTTGACCGGAATTGCTCAAGAGAAGAAATGCCGGAAGTCCCTGCACCAAGGCCTAAGCAACATGCATAGTAAGAGAATAATATTGTTATATTTTTGTTTGTGGACTTGGTTGAACTGAGAGTTTGTGTGTATGAGACAGTGCACACAATATTCATTGTTGAAAATGACCGGCCTGTGGTCTGAGTACTGTAGCAGTCCATTTCTGTCATTTTCACGTTGGTGTGTGACATTTACAATAAATGTGGCTGAGCGAGGGGTGTGCGTGTGTGCGCACACACCCGCGCGCGCGCGCGTGTGCGTGTGCGTGTGTGTGTGTGTGTGTGTGTGTGTGTGTAAGGGATGATTATGTGTGCACGTGTATGATGTGGCTCTTTGCAGTAACACAGTAAAAAAAATTGGTTCTTAGTCTCCGACTGGTTGGCCAGCCATGCTGTAGTTTGTCACTTAAAATTATAAGATTACTCTTAATAACTACACTAGTTATTTAGCTGCAGCATTTCTGTAGATAGTTGCTGTAGTTAGACGTGGTGTTACTTTAGTTCGTAGCTTGTTACAATAGCATCTTTGTTTTCATTTGTGTAGATAGTAGAGTATATCAGGTTACTTAGTCAGTCAGTCTTTTTTGTGAATTATTTTATTCAATTATACAGTGAGTAGTAGCATACAGTCAGTCACTTGCTACTTGATTCGCCATCTCTCCACCGATGCCTCGTAGCCGCCTGTGATTAAACTTTAATTATACTTTAAAATCCAAGTCTTAGGGGGGAAAAGCGATTACAGTGCCACAATTATTTTCTTGAATTCGGCGTAATTGTGTCGGTGTGGCGTGAGAGCGTCAGGAAGCGCTCAGACATAAAGGGCGCCATTAACATTTGGCACGCGGCATTGGATTGCTACGCTAGCGACGTGGCGCGCTAACCGTTACAGTGGTGAGCAATTACGGCGAGATAATTAAAAAGGGAGCCGGGGAAGGGGGGATCTTTCACTCCAATTGGAAAAGAGATTCTTATTCAAGATGAGGAAACGCAGCTTGTTAAGAGTTCTGACTTTACAAGGATGATAAAAATAACACAATAACACTTACATTCACAGTAGCTATCAATGTTAATGCTTATTATTGACCTCGTTTGCACTGCTCTACAACTGCAGAGAGCTAATTAGTTGGTTAGTTATGTTGTTTATCACTGAAGCATTGTGATGCCTAATAAAGTCATGTTTATTATTTCATAATTTGAGTTTGTATTCTTTTAATTTGTATCACGAATTCATTTTCAAAGCAACCTATTCATTTTAATGACTTTGAAGACTATGCCTGAAAATGACATTAAATTTTCAATTAATCATCACTTGTGTTACATTCCACTTTTGGAGAATCATCAACATGTATGAGTAATTGGGTACTTGTGGTATGACAAAAGGGTTTAGGAGTACACAAGACAAAAAACAAATTGGGAAGCACTGCCCTACAGAACACAGACAGCCCGGCGAAGGCCTACGCTCGTCTTTGGTCTTGTTGTAGGACGTGATTAAAGGTGAGGGGGAAGAACAAGAGGATTTGTTTCGCTACACTCAGCTGGGAGTGAAGTATTGCTGACAGAAAAAAAAGCTCATTTCGCAACCTGACGATGGGAGTGAGAATCTATGTTGATAAAATGCACGTTGACGAAGGGGACGCAACCACCCGGGTATCGCTCGCTCACATTATCCATGTTCATTTACACCAAGGCCGGTATCCTCCTCACCGGCGCACACTTCATTTAGTGATTCATTTGCTCGCTTAATGCACACACTGTGATCCCGTGGGTGCATGTACTCTAATTGGTTATAGGCTTGAAATCGATCAATCTATGGATTAGCATGTTGATTCATCACTGAATCGGACGTTTTACTTCCCATCCTTTTTTTTTTAAATACAGGAAATGAATTCAAATTGACAGTGCAAAAAAAAAAAAATGCACAAACATAAAATTAATTTTGATTAATTTTCTGGTTTGGGCCATAGCATGTCAACAGAAAGGCATAAACGTTGACAGTAAAAGCAAATATATTTTAAAGAAAAGCTGATGGTCAGTCTGCTTTCATGGAAGAAATCCAAGAGGGTTGGGAATTGAGAGGCAGAATTTCGGGGGATTTGGACAATTTCAAGTTTGTCAAAATAATGATACACAAAAGTTATCGTTATTTACTGTATGATGATTCTGCACCATACATCATAGTGTGCGACTTGTTTATCCACCTGTGTAACAGCAACGAATGTTAATAGCAAAATGTAAAACCGTGTTTTATCGTTCTTACGTTTTATTGTTAACAGTCGTTTCCAAGCGTATGACATTTAAGAGTGTTAAAAGGCTTGCTTGATGCAACGTGACAAACGACGCAGAATTACAACCTGCCGGCACTTTCCACTGGGCTACATGTGCACTATTTGGCTCTTAACATTCTAATGGACCGAGCAGCATCTGGAGCACATTAACGACCTACTGAGGGGAAACTTTTCACAGGTAAAGAGACAGAGATATTTTTACAAGAGAGCTTTTATCGGCTGCGGGAGGCCACAAACGTCCGATCGATGCTACCGCAAACATCACTCTGCTGGCACATTTGCTCCATTGGGCAGCGGCAGGCTTAAGTTTGTTGCAGTTTTTTTTCCCTTTTTTGCGCTTGTTTAGTTTGCTTGACTTTGACAAAAATCAATGGCCCCCTCTGGATCCCGCAGTTCCCCTTAATTTCCTTTATCGCTCCTGCAACACCTCCACCACTTTGTCTGCCAAGACTCACTGCAAAGTTTGTGTTGAGCATCCCAGGGCGGTCTTATATTGACACCAATTGTCACGAAGTCTTCACTTTGAATGGAACTTGGGGAAATTCGTATGATTATGCTTAAAGGACACTTTTTTTAAGCAAGCAGGTCATAATTTAAAACAGTTCCCAAATGTCTGAAAAACATGTCTGCAGCAATCTTCCTTTAAAAAATATATATTCCCCAAGCATCAAGAATTAATCGTTCATAAGAACGCAACGTCGTTATCTCATCTAAAGTGAGTCTCCATAGAGAGTGCACTGGTGGATGCAGCATTTCATCTTTAAACCACTGAATGATACTTGTGGATTAATGAAGCGGTCTGGCGCATGATGTCACCAGACATTAAAAAGCATATTTTCCACCATATATCCCAGCTGATGTATGAGAGAAAATTGACTTTTAATTTTTGCATGCAGATAATTGTGTCTGGTGTGCCTGCCCACCCATTTACACTGAACATAAACAAGTTAATATTTTGTTCCCAACTTCATTTTGAAAATATATCTTTCACTGACCTGTTCTGAAATTTGCGCCATTGTGATGTCACTCTATGAATGCCTAGTATGGCTCCATTAAATTTCACAAAAGAGAATGTTTCTCAAAGATAAAATAGAGGCCCTTGTAGTGAACCCTGGGGTACACTATAGCCCTATTTTCATGCGCTTGGCATAAAACTGGTGCATCTTCATTTTTGTGCCAGGGCAAGTCCATTTTGGGAATTTGGCAAACCACGCCTACGTCTCTCTGGGTGTTCTGTCATTTCTATTACATGCCTCTCGGTGCAACTGACAATTTGATGACAGAAAGTACACGAGATTTTTGACCAGGTGAAAGCAGGTTGAAATTGTGCCGCAGGTCATGTAATGTTATTTTGGTGGATTTGATCCAGGCATAGGCAGACAGATTCTGCACTCCACTGATATGTGTGGTAGATGTCATTGAATTTCATTCATAAATATGACATCGGCGTGCATCAAACCCTCTGAATCATTGTAAACTTAATTTATTGAATGCATTGATATTCTTCTTATTCTTATCATCTTTAATATATTGGAAAAGCACTCTTGTACCGCGGAGAGTGAGGAAGGGTTGTCATACACAGACACATAGACACACACGATTGAGCGTTCTTGAGACTATAATAGGGGCCCTGCTGGTGAACCCTGGGGTACACCGAAAATCAGAAATCCCTGGTGTATTATCCTCAGAAAGGCTGTCCTAGGAGCCAACAGATGCTTTCCAATACTCAATGACGCATATCTATTATCCATTGTGTCATCACAGGTGGAATATAGAAATTGGGCCCAAGTGGCAATCAATACTATAATTGATCATTGTATTTGCATACCACTGCAGAAAGACAATGTGTCTCTAGGACCTTATCAAGGTCATGATTCCCACTCACCATCTCGTTTGTTGAGCTTGGCGAAGACAGGAGCGTGACTAGCAGAAAGCTGGGAGGAGCTTCGGAAGGCCGACGGCGGCAGTTTGGACACCAGGGCGCTGTCGCATGCGTCTGTGGATGCAAAACAGTGAAAGTCTTCACAAAGCAAACATTTGATCAATCACAGGTGTCACCAGCAGCTTCAGTTGCTAACAATCTTAATTGTTCATCAAGACACGTGGGACAACAGTGACAACATTTATGGCCAAACTCTATGTTTCCCAATTGTTTTGTCCCAACTGTATCATCCGCAATTTCTTCACTTTTTCTGTTTTTTTTTTCACGGAGCTGTCCCAATACATTTGCCAAAACTCTCCTCTGAAGGTGAGGCATGCGTCCAGAGAGCAGGCCCATTGAGGGAACATGTGTGAAGTGGAGGAAGATGAAGATGAAATAGAGTAAAAGTAGTTTTTTTATTTTTTGTCCTTTTAAGAGTCTCTCGAGAGCAGTGAAGGAAAAACGGCCAACATGGACTTGACTCCGACGACTTCCTAGAATTTTAAGCGAGTGCACCTTGCTGCCCGTCACAGCACTTGTACTTTTTTTCAATGTGTCTGTTGCACTTGTACAAGACGCTGGAGAGAATCATTTCTTTTCCTCATGTTTAACATTCAGGACATGTTCGCGACAACGCCGCCAGGAAATACAGCTTTCAATTTTTGGAAGACTCGGTCAGGGGGAAAGATTTGGGGAAATGGAGGTTTTGGGCTAAGGGTTAAGAGTTCATCTTCGGGTTTCACAGTTGGGTTTGGGGGTTTAAGCTAGGATTTCAAACTAGAGGTGTCGGTGTCCTGATTAGGCTTGCAAGACAGGGTTAATGTTTTTAAAATTCACGCCAAGGTCAAAATTTCAAATTGTGGTTTCAAGCCGAGTCTTTTCCCACAGTTACTTTCTTCACATTTTTGGAAAAAAAAAAGAAAAGAAGCGCACACTCTCTAACCAAGACCAGAGATGAATGGCGACTCACCCCCAATGCAGTCATGACATTTAAAAAAGATAAATAGATTGAAAACTTTATTCCTCTAATAGTAATAATACATGCATTTTTGGAAAGGTCAGCCATTTTAATTGCGTGCAATCTAGATGAAAGATGTCGAAATTAATCTTGGTTCTGCACCAATTGTTGCAGTTGGATACATTGTTCTTTGTAAATGCCAAACAGGAGCTACAGCTCATCTACGGTAACGTGTTTTGTCTCCAAGAGCAGAAAAACAAAAAAACTGTTCTATCATATCTATAGCATATCTACAGCTATTTATATTGTATTTATTTGGATCATAGCTCGCTGCTTATGTAAAATTATGCATTTGTATGTGAAAAGATGAAACACTTGGTCATTCAGGAGGAGCTCAAGAGTAGAGCTGCTGCTCCGCCGCATCGAAAGGAGCCCCATGAGGTGGCTCGGGCATATTGTTAGACGGTCACCTTCACATATTACTTTAACGTTGCTTTGAAAGGAAAACATTTGCAAGCAGCTATGAGAGTTGCCGTGTCTATAAGTGGTATAGACTCACTACTGAGGCAGATAACTGGCTAACTAGCATGGCTAACAGCATGAGAGTTGCCGTGTCTATAATTGGTATAGTCTCACTACTGAGGCAGATGACTAGCTAACTAGCATGGCTGACGGCAATTCAAAGCTGAGTAAGACCACAGTAGCTACACATTTTCAGACTTGTTAATTTGAACCCTTTCATGTAAACTGATAACATGATAAGCTGTCCACTGGAGTAACCTCTGCCCTTGTCAGGGTTAGTTAAAAAATATTCCATTCTGAATTTTCTTTTTATGTTTGCTGGTGTACCCACAAAGAGACCAGTAATTGCGATTAAGTGAATCTGTGATATTTTTGCTCATGGTAACATGAGCAACACACCATCAGACTGTTTACACTGTTAGCGGCCCATGTCCAGTTCCATATCTATCGTAGTTTATCGTGTTAGTATCGTACAGCAACAATTCGAAATGTGTCTGTTGCTTGGATCATATTAGCTGTCATAATTATGAATACCTTATCGATTTGTATTGGATCGCAGCCAAATCGATCACACTTGTTTATCTTCCAGCTGTCTGCTATATGCAGCATTTTTGTTCACCCTTGCCATTTTTTAAAAGTCGGCAAAAGTCACAAAAGAGTTGCAGCGAAGTTGACGGAATGAAAATATAAAGAAATCAGCATTTAAGCGCGTGCAACCTGAGATTGAAAATGAATCAGCCCAGAGTTGGAGACTTCTCCAGGCACAATTTGGACCCCCCTCGCAACCCATCTAGGCGGGCAAGAGTGAGGACCCACAGCTCATTGTCCACTTTTTCTTTTTTTTTTTTGAATAACAAAGAGCCCGTAGGGTCCAGGATGGAGGCGGGGACCCTGAATACAGATGAGCTCCATCCATCACACACACACACACACACACACACACACACACACATACACACAAGGTCTTGCTTACTTTGGCGTCCTTTTACACTGAAAAAAAGTCCCACAATGCTTTGCTGCTTTTGGGGGGTTCATTCCGATCACGTTGGAATGTTGTTTTGGTGATTGCACTCAGGCGGAAAACATGAATGCGCAACTTCTACCGCACATTCTTCTAGGACAAAATGCTTTTATCTTAGCGTAAGTGAAAGGAAAAAAAATGATTATACTACAAGAATAATGGCGTAACATTATTGGGCTAAATTGTTATTTTTGAGGAAAAATAGTTGGAATTTACCATGGAAAAGTCATACTCCTAGATGAAGTTCTATTTTCTTTTAGTCATCGTTTTTGGTAAAAATGTTTCAAGAATGAAAATGTTCGAATTTCAAATTGACATTTGCATTAAAATTACATATATATATATATATATATATCAAAGTCCTTTGTATTTTTTTTCTTTAGAAAATTGAAATGGAGTTGCAAAAGGCACCACAACTCTCACAGGATTTACATATGCTGTATTTTTTATATGAGGAAAATCATAATCTGACAAGAATAAAAGTTGCATTCCTTCAACACCTAAATTGTAATATGAAAAGAGCAAAGAAGACACAACGTTTGCCCAGTAATGCGCATTTTTAAAATTCTTTTTTAATAAAAAAGATCATGGATGGATGGATGTTATCTCATTAGGGTGGAGTGGAATTTCCCCATTCCTTTGTCCAGTCCAGCGAGTGCGAGGAAGAAAGGTTCATGCATCACACAGGGCGCGCATGAAACAACCCCGATTGCCTTGAGCGCTGAGAGCTAATCTAGCTCTTAGCGTCGGCTCCTTCCTCACATCATTTACATTCCCTGAGTGTGGATGGAACAAGCTGATTAAGACTGCTGCATTATTCAACAGGAGCCACCGTGTGTGTGTGTGTGTGTGTGTGTGTGTGTGTGTGTGTGTGTGTGTGTGTGTGTGTGTGTGTGTGTGTGTGTGCGTGTGTGTGTGCGTGTATGTGTGCGTGTGTGTGCTCGAGCGCGTGTGGCCGAGGCGTTAATTGATTAATTGAAATGCAGGGGTGCTAACAAACAGCCCGAAGGTGAAGACATGGCACTGGAGTGCTCGCCTCTTCATTTCATTAGCACCGTGTTAGCGCAGAATTAGTGAGCAAAGAGGCAGGAAAAGAAAGAGAGCGGGAGGGAGGAAAATAAAAGATATGCAATGACTGCAACAGGCTACTTCAGATACGACTCAACCAACAGTGATGGTGAACTAGTTGAAAGTTGGATGGAAAACACAGGCTTGCAGCTGGAGCTTATTCAAAACTCTAAACTCCCCAAGTCCTTCAACAGCTGCCGCTGGAGAAGAGGCTACAACCCTGACCTGTGCTTCGTCAGCCAGAGACTAGCACATCTGACTGAGAAAACGGTGCTTAAACCGCTTCCCAAGTCACAACATCGACCAATCTCAGTCACGATCAAGCCTGCCATCACGAAGACGGAAGTACCCTTTCGACGCCGCTTCAACCTCATGAAGGCCAAATGGGATGAATATAGCGAAGGAATGGAAAACGCTTTAACAGACATTGAACCCACACCTGACAACTACACCATGTTTGTTCAGGCTGTAAAGAAGACTGCTTGCGCACATATCCCACGCGGATGCCGAAAAGAATACATCGCAGGCCTTACAGAGGAGTCATCACAGCTGCTGGCGCGCTATGAACTGGAGTTCGAAAAAGACCCCTTTTCCGACGCCGCCAGTGAACTGAGTGACACACTCATGGAATCCCTAGGGAAGGAGAGGCGGGAAGCCTGGCAAACACTTGTAGAGAACATCAACATGACTCGAAACAGCAAAAAAGCCTGGGCTACTATCCGGAAACTAAACGGTGATAAGATCACACCACCCGTTATATCCGACGTAACACCAAACCAGGTTGGGAGCCAACTGGTGGCCAACGGGAGAAGAGCAGAAAGGCGCAGGGCTAAAGGACAACATCTTCTCACCACCATCCCGGGCAGTCAGCAGAACATGTCCATTCTAACCAAGCCCTTCACCTTTGAGGAGTTTGAAGATGGACTAAGCACCATGAAGCTGGGCAAAGCTGCAGGTCCCGACGACATACTGACAGAGATGATCACTCACCTTGGCCCAGCTGCCAAACAATGGCTCATGGACATGTACAACACCTGCCTCCAAACCCAGCACATACCAACAATCTGGAGGAAAGCCATCACCATTGCTCTTCAAAAACCTGGGAAAGACCCCAACTGCCCCAAAAGCTACCGGCCCATCTCCCTACTCTGTATCACCTACAAGCTGTTCGAGAGACTACTCCTTGCCCGACTATCCCCCCAGATAGACACTGAGCTGATAAAAGAACAAGCCGGATTCAGAGCCGGGAAGTCATGCTCAGGCCAACTGCTAAACCTCACCCAATACATCGAGGACGGCTACCAGAAGAAGCTGATAACAGGCGCTGCCTTCGTAGACCTGTCGGCAGCTTATGATACCGTCCAACACAGGCTGCTGATCAAAAAACTTTTCGACCTGACAGCAGCTGCCAAACTGTGCAATATAATAAGATGTCTTCTGAGCAACCGGATGTTCCATGTCACACTCAACAATAAAAAAAGCAGATGGTTCCACCAAAACAACGGG